ACACAATTGTACAAGTCAAAAATCGACTTTACCTGAAAATGTTGATTTTGCTGAGATTTCTTACAAGGATTAAAAGGCATCACCACAACTCAACAGAAATCACCTTCCAGTTGAAATTGTGCAGCAAAGAGCATGTACTGTCTGGCCATAAAAATCCAGATTACTTTCGGAAATCGACATTCGTTTTGAAGAAGTTTCAAGGTCAAATCACTTCGCCACGTCTTGACGCTGCGACACGGAACGTCGCCATTGAAAGAATGCACGCTGGAGATTATCAATATTCTGTTGCCTGGCGTCTGAATGTTAGTCTGAGCACGATATCACGGCTTGCAGCTCGTTACAACCAAACAGGTATAACACATGACAGTCCCCGTACAGGCAGATCTCGAGTCACCACTGCAGCCCAAGATCGGTACATCCGGGTACTACATTTGCAAAGGGAGGTAACTCGCTTGGCTCCAAAGGGAGGTAACTCGCACATCTCATATGCCATCACAGTCACTAATAGTTAAACACGATAACAGTACAACAGCCATTAATCCTTGCTATTTTATGAGATGCCTTATGTCTGCAAATGGAGAAGGGTTTTCTCTGTAACAATGGAAGTTAGATCAATAAATCTTTGCATGAAAAATTAACTTAAATCTTGAAACTGTAATTATTTCAAGTGCCTGGGTATTGTGTTTTCATCAATATTGATATGGACAAAAGCCTGTGAAACTTTGGTTATGCAAGCACATGAAACAATGGAACCAGTGTTAATTTTGTTGAATAACAAACTGCCTGTAAAATACCACGAAGTTATAGAAAAAGTACAAACAAGCTTCTTCAAAGGATTTCTGGGGGTGGATAATTATGCTGCAAATAAAGCTATTCTTGGAGAAACTGGACGATACTGTTTATTCATAAAAACAGAGATAAAAGTTATAAAATATTGGATTAAGTTATTAAAAATGAATGTTTCAAGTCATCCTTTACATTGTTATGAAATGCTTAAATTACATGACGAGCATGGTAAAGTTAACTGGGTTTCTCACGTTCGTGAGATGTTATTTACAAGTGGTTTTAGCTTTGCATGAATTATGCAAGATGTTGGTGATGCCACTATTTTTATATCTACATTTAGAAGACGTTTGATTGATATGTACATTCAATCCTGGCAGCAAAGTATTGAATCATCATCATATTTGTCACACTATTCTACTATAAAGAACTTATTCCAATGCGAAACATATATCCATAAACTTAATAATAATAACTTAGGTAGATCTATGTGTAAATTTCGCATATCTCTTCATGATTTCAGAGTTCATTAACAACATAAGAGGAAAGTCAATGACAATTCTGATATAGAATCCATTTGTTTGCACTGTGATATGAATGTTGTAGAAAATGAATACCATGTTTACTCCATTTGTAATAGATATTCTCCTCTCCGTAACAAATACTTCTTGTATACTATTGTAAAGCTAGATTAACATTACAACAAATATTAAACACACCTGATGTACATATACCAGTGAGTGAGTGAGTGAGTTGAGTTTTACGCTACACGCAGCAATATTCCAGCTATATGGCGGCGGTCTGTAAATAATCGAGTCTGAAACAGACAATCCAGTGATCAACAGAATGAGCATCGACTGCGCAATTTGGAACCGATGACATGTGTCAACCAAGCCAGCGAGCCTGGCCACTCGATCCCGTTAGTCGCCTCTTGCGACAAGCATGGGTTACTGAAGGTTCATTCTAACCCGGAACTTCACGGGTGTTTACATATACTACGTTCAACCTCTATATATCGCTAAATATATTTAGCTTAAGATCTTCTTAATATATTTTGGTCTTGTTTTTACCTTATAATACAATTGTACTATGGCCTAAAATGCGGAATAAACTTGATTGATTGATCTTGACTCAAGTGCTTAGAGTACCATCATATAACGATCACAGTTTAAAGCAAACATGATTTGGATTTAACGATGTATGTTTGTACTACTTACCTTTCATGGTAATAAAACATAGCTCTTATTGATATTTTTGTCTGGTTGTCTTTTAACGCCGCTCTAATTATTCCAATTATTTGACGGTGTATTGTACATAACCAACAGTATAATATAGCAGTCATTTGTGGCTTCCAAGGATGGGTGGACAGAATACTGGTTGAAACTGTATCTCATCACGCCGAAGACACTTGTTCGATTCCTTGCATACAATGTAGGTATAATATTGTGAAACCCATTTCAGTTATCCCCCGCCATGATTACTGCTGAAAAGCAGACTCGCACACTTACTATTGTAACACAACGCATATTGTGCCGATTTTAGCATTATTTGCGAGCTTCCAAAATTTCTAGAAAATGATGCTTTCAAGACTGTTGAATTCATGAGTATTGCCTTCATGAGTAAAGCTGACAGGCTGTTGTCCCAGACGTGGTTTTGGCCAACAAATTAGTGAGTAAAGCTGACAGGCTGTTGTCCCAGACGTGGTTTTGGCCAACAAATTAGTGAGTAAAACTGACAGGCTGTTGTCCCAGACGTGGTTTTGGCCAACAAATTAGTGAGTAAAGCTGACAGGTGTTGTCCCAGACGTGGTTTTGGCCAACAAATTAGTGAGTAAAGCTGACAGGCTGTTGTCCCAGACGTGGTTTTGGCCAACAAATTAGTGAGTAAAGCTGACAGGCTGTTGTCCCAGACGTGGTTTTGGCCAACAAATTAGTGAGTAAAGCTGACAGGCTGTTGTCCCAGACGTGGTTTTGTCAAATTAGTGACGTAAAGTTGACAGGATGTTGTCCCAGACGTGGTTTTGGCCAACAAATTAGTGAGTAAAGCTGACAGGCTGTTGTCCCAGACGTGGTTTTGGCCAACAAATTAGTGAGTAAAGCTGACAGGCTGTTGTCCCAGACGTGGTTTTGGCCAACAAATTAGTGAGTAAAGCTGACAGGCTGTTGTCCCAGACGTGGTTTTGGCCAACAAATTAGTTAGACGTAAACAAATTAGTTAGTAAAGCTGTTGTCCCAGACGTGGTTTTGGCCAACAAATTAGTGAGTAAAGCTGACAGGCTGTTGTCCCAGACGTGGTTTTGGCCAACAAATTAGTGAGTAAAGCTGACAGGCTGTTGTCCCAGACGTGGTTTTGGCCAACAAATTAGTGAGTAAAGCTGACAGGCTGTTGTCCCAGACGTGGTTTTGGCCAACAAATTAGTGAGTAAAGCTGACAGGCTGTTGTCCCAGACGTGGTTTTGGCCAACAAATTAGTGAGTAAAGCTGACAGGCTGTTGTCCCAGACGTGGTTTTGGCCAACAAATTAGTTAGTAAAGCTGACAGGCTGTTGTCCCAGACGTGGTTTTGGCCAACAAATTAGTTAGTAAAGCTGACAGGCTGTTGTCCCAGACGTGGTTTTGGCCAACAAATTAGTGAGTAAAACTGACAGGCTGTTGTCCTAGACGTGGTTTTGGCCAACAAATTAGTGAGTAAAGCTGACAGGATGTTGTCCCAGACGTGATGTTGTCCCAGACGTGATTTTGGCCAACAAATTAGTGAGACGGTCAACAACACCAGCGAGACTGCTTTCGAGTTATGTCCCCATGATAATCGGGAGGAAGGAACTGGAATTGTACCTGAAAATGCTTGAAAAAATATTTGTGCTTCTGACTTTAATTAAATACTGACGATGTGTTTTTATGAAACAAAATATGTTAATGCTCATAGCTTAATTTCTTTATGAAAATGTCTGGTTTTGCCGATTAACTGAAAAGAAATAGCGTATCCTAAGCCCCCAAACTGTCCCTTACTGAGTAATTAAGCGACCTGTTGCTTCTTTAGTGAATGTAAGCTGCTTCGCATTGCACGTTCTAAAATCACCCATGGTTCAAATCATGTTCTGGTTTGCTAAATATTATGCAATCAATCATGTATATGTTCAGTTGGGTTCATTGAAAATTATTGCATTACATTGTTTCTGTTAAGATTCAATACACGGCAGCAGTGATTTTTATACTATTAAGACACGGAGTCACTGAATACTGATCTGGAACCTTCTAGAATATTCTGTGACATTCCGCAAAAGATGTAATCTGTTGACCAAAGGGCAGACGATCGATATGTTGTACTCCACGCCCTTGGGAACCGCTTCTCAACTGCCAGTGCTCTACGGCTGCAGCTCAGACATGCAACCAACACAAACGTCAGCATCTCAACCATCAGGAACCGTCTCAGAGTTGCTAATGTACGGTCACGTCGTCCAGCGGTACGTCCTCACCACCGCCCACATCATAGAGCTGCAAGGCTGGCCTGGGCCAGAGCACATTTGAGATGGAATCAGCAACAGTGGTCCGGGGTACTCTTCACTGACGAGTCACGACTATGTCTTGAGCACAACGATGGAAGGATTAGGGTTTTCAGGAGGCGTGGAGAACGCTACCATGATGCTACTGTGAGGGAGAGGAACAGATTTGGTGATGGCTCTGTGATGGTTTGGGGAGGCTTCAGCTTACATCACCGTACTCCTCTGTACCATGTACAGGGCAATTTGACTGGATTGAGGTACCGGGATGAGATTCTGCGTCCTCTGGTTCTTCCAGCTTTGAACACCATTGGTGCCGGAGCACAGATGCAAGATGACAAGGCCAGACCACATCGAGCTCGAGTCGTTAGAGACTTCTTGCAACAAAATAATGTGAATGTGATGCAGTGGCCAGCTTATTCACCGGATCTGGATCCAATTGAACATCTATTGGACATTCTAGGACGACGTGTTAGAGACAATCATGGAATGGCACCGACTCTTCAGTGGCTCCAGATGGAATGGCAGTTGATTCCCCAAGCTACCCTCCGCACCCTTGTCAGGTCCATGAGGCGCAGATGTACAGAATGCATCAATCAACGTGGAGGACACACCCACTATTGATACTGTGACTTTCAGTTTTGACCCCTATCCTCTTCCGCTGCTTGTACTGGCATTGCAGTCAATGATATCTGCCCATAAATCCATTACATTTTAAGAACAAATAATGTTTTATTTACCCTTGTAATAAACCGACACTGCCACTTTAAATTTACTTTGATATACTTTGATAATTTGGTGTTCCCATACTTATTGTCGGTAGTATATATATGATATCTGAGATATCAACATCTGTTTTCCAGAAAGGCATTTATCCACATGGAAACAGCAAAGAAAACGGTGCCGGATTTTGGAAAATATGATAATCAGGAATGATTAGTTTTAACTATGATGTTGAGCAGGGGACAAAAAGAGTTTCTTTGATGGGGTATTCCAAACATGATGTACAACAATGTAGCTCGCAGAAGCTCCTCCATGACAAACGAACAAAACATTTCTTCTTCAGGTCCTTCTTGTAAATGTGATGTCAGCCGGTCTATTCAGAGTCGCGAAGATGCGGAATATGACCTCAATATTCTCATCCTCTGGACCGACTGACAACTGAAACTGCGACACAAGCTGAAACAAGAATGATTCAAAATATATTTTCACAAAACACGGACCACGCGGGGTTAAATAATGTGTATATTTTGAAAAGTGCGAAAGACGAATACGTGAGTTAATCACTACTTGCAGTATTAAAGTACTGGTCCCGACCAGTCAAAGCAGTGAGTGCTTTTGAAGCATACCAGGGTCTCGTGGTTGCACACTCATTCCCTACCTTCGTGTTCACTGTACCTGTCTATGTTTAAACAAAATAACCTACATATTATTTTAAAGAAAAAGTTGAGGGACCAAATATTTAAATGACATAATCAAATAATTAAATGACATAATCAAATAACACGACAATCATTTCAATTTTCAGTTACATAAAATCCATACTCGGTGTACTTTCTTTTGCCCTTCAGTATAATTACTCCGTTATGACCATGCAGAATAACCGTAGTTTTGTGAAAGAATCGGCATTCTTTAACTTATTTTGAGTAATATATGTCCAATTCCATGCAGTATCACCTTCACGATAGCCAGATATATGGCTTGCTCAGCAAATCGTCTCCCGAGGCAGATTCTAGGCCCGAAACTGAACGGCAGGAGTGCTATACTTGGTATGTGTCTTTCTCTCTTTCCGCTTGATCCTCTCAGCCAACGTTCGGGAAGAAATGAGTTGGGATTTTCGAAATATTTTTCATCTTTCAGAAGTCGGGGACAGCTCAGTGCGATATTGGTCTGGAACATATATACATATGGTTCTGTGATAACGCATCCGAATCACGTGGTTTTACGGAAGACCATCATTATGAGACAATTCCTTTTTCTTTGTTTTCTCTTGGGGAGTCATAAATATGTTAGACTCTTTCCAAACACTAGATCTTTGTTTGAGAAACTCATTTAAACTTTTTACTTAAAATGTGTATGTATGTAGACTTGGCCTCGTCGCTATATGGCTGGAATAGTGCCGATGCGACGTAAAACTTTAACTCACACAATTCCCTCGACGCACTCAACTCAACCACCTCAATCCCACCTCAGCCCACTCCACTCACTCACTCCTGTTTACCCCTTTCGGTATCCTGTACCCGCCGATGATAGAGTCCTCTGGAAGTATCCTTGACGGACCCGTTGGTAAGATAAAGATGATTCTGTGAAACAACATATGTAAATGTCTAAGTTGAGGTGAAGTGGGTTGAAATGAGGGTAAACGTCAAGGTACCTGCATTAAATAGTGGCCCCTGTGAAGGAGTGTGTGTGTGGATGCTTGAACTAGTCCGGGCCTTTGAAAAGGAGCAGGAGGAGGATGAGCATGTGGATGATTGAACAAGTCCGGGAAATTAAACTGGAGCAGGAGGAGCATGTGGATGATTGAACTAGTCCCGGGCATTAAATTGGAGCAGGAGGATGAGCATGTGGATGATTGAACTAGTCCGGGGAATTAAACTGGAGCAGGAGGAGCATGTGGATGATTGAACTAGTCCCGGGAATTAAATTGGAGCAGGAGGATGAGCATGTGGATGATTGAACTAGTCCGTGGAATTAAACTGGAGCAGGAGGAGCATGTGGATGATTGAACTAGTCCCGGGAATTAAATTGGAGCAGGAGGATGAGCATGTGGATGATTGAACTAGTCCGGGGAATTAAATTGGAGCAGGAGGATGAGCATGTGGATGATTGAACTAGTCCGGGGAATTAAACTGGAGCAGGAGGATGAGCATGTGGATGATTGAACTAGTCCCGGCCTTTTCAAAAGAGCAGGAGGAAGACGAGGATGAGCATGTAGATGATTGGACATATCAACAAATCAGACTATTAAAAATGATGATGATGATGATGATGATGATGATGATGATGATGATGATATATTGCCAACACATCCTACCAGGTATCCATTCACTGCTTAGTTAACACAGTTATTTTCTTAATGTCACCTGTCCAATGAGACACCACATGTGTTACACGTGCTTCAGAGTGGGACAGGACTGAGGCCCTAAAAATGCAAAATCTCCAACCTGCCAAACACCACCACAAGGGCTGTCCATTTAAATGTTTTTTGCCTGGCGTGGTAACAACAAGTACCATATTCAGACATCTTCGGTATGATGTGGCCGGAAGGTGGAACCCCCGACCTTCCTTTACCTTACCTTACCCGGAAGACGCTAAATATATTTTAAATTTTTAAATGACAGCACTCATGTCCTATTTCCTGAATTTCAACTTCTTCCTTCTGGCCGACGACTGCGCACGCCGATATTCAGAACAAACAAGGCTCGAAATCCATTCATCCCAGCAAGCATCAGTGTTTTAAATGAATTATGTTAATGTTTGTTTATCATTTTATAATACTTTATCAATTGTTTCAAACTGTTATATTCATATACTTCTAGTGCTAATGTTCCTCAGCAAAAGTTTTAATGTCACCACTATATAGCTCTGAATCTTAAATATATTACTATTTATTCATCATTTATCTTTACCTAATATATTAGGCTTTGTTGCTATCTGTTTTAGTACTACTAGTATTTGACATATATATGGGAGCTTATGTACATGTATCTTTTGTTGTATTGTATGTGTTTTCAATGTTAACCGTGCAAAGCAAATTTCCTTCGGGATAATAAAGCATTATCTTTTCTTTATCTTATCTCTGTCCAAATGACAACAGAGGCGAGCAGAGATACCAGAAATTGATTTAACACATAGGACCCATTTAGAGAATGAACCGGAATCTTCGCGTTATGAGGAACATCTTCAACCACGACGCTACTTATACGTTTCGTTATAAAGACAATATTGAACAAACTTGATGGATAACAACTTCTTTATATTCGTGAGTGCGACGTTTCGATACAAATTCTTGTACCGTTCTCAAGCATAATGGAACATGAAGAAGGGGGGCAAGTATATATATACTGGATGTAACAATGTAACAAAGAAAACAACATAATTAACATAACTGGCTAGGCAGAAAGCTGATGAAGCCAGAGAGTAGACAAAGGACAGGCGTGGAAGCCAGTGATAGAAAGCTGATGAAGCCAGAGAGTAGACAAAGGACAGGCGTGGAAGCCAATGATTGTGTTTTTATGAAACAAAATATGTTAATGCTCATAGCTTAATTTCTTTATGAAAATGTCTGGTTTTGCCGATTAACTGAAAAGAAATAGCGTATCCTAAGCCCCCAAACTGTCCCTTACTGAGTAATTAAGCGACCTGTTGCTTCTTTAGTGAATGTAAGCTGCTTCGCATTGCACGTTCTAAAATCACCCATGGTTCAAATCATGTTCTGGTTTGCTAAATATTATGCAATCAATCATGTATATGTTCAGTTGGGTTCATTGAAAATTATTGCATTACATTGTTTCTGTTAAGATTCAATACACGGCAGCAGTGATTTTTATACTATTAAGACACGGAGTCACTGAATACTGATCTGGAACCTTCTAGAATATTCTGTGACATTCCGCAAAAGATGTAATCTGTTGACCAAAGGGCAGACGATCGATATGTTGTACTCCACGCCCTTGGGAACCGCTTCTCAACTGCCAGTGCTCTACGGCTGCAGCTCAGACATGCAACCAACACAAACGTCAGCATCTCAACCATCAGGAACCGTCTCAGAGTTGCTAATGTACGGTCACGTCGTCCAGCGGTACGTCCTCACCACCGCCCACATCATAGAGCTGCAAGGCTGGCCTGGGCCAGAGCACATTTGAGATGGAATCAGCAACAGTGGTCCGGGGTACTCTTCACTGACGAGTCACGACTATGTCTTGAGCACAACGATGGAAGGATTAGGGTTTTCAGGAGGCGTGGAGAACGCTACCATGATGCTACTGTGAGGGAGAGGAACAGATTTGGTGATGGCTCTGTGATGGTTTGGGGAGGCTTCAGCTTACATCACCGTACTCCTCTGTACCATGTACAGGGCAATTTGACTGGATTGAGGTACCGGGATGAGATTCTGCGTCCTCTGGTTCTTCCAGCTTTGAACACCATTGGTGCCGGAGCACAGATGCAAGATGACAAGGCCAGACCACATCGAGCTCGAGTCGTTAGAGACTTCTTGCAACAAAATAATGTGAATGTGATGCAGTGGCCAGCTTATTCACCGGATCTGGATCCAATTGAACATCTATTGGACATTCTAGGACGACGTGTTAGAGACAATCATGGAATGGCACCGACTCTTCAGTGGCTCCAGATGGAATGGCAGTTGATTCCCCAAGCTACCCTCCGCACCCTTGTCAGGTCCATGAGGCGCAGATGTACAGAATGCATCAATCAACGTGGAGGACACACCCACTATTGATACTGTGACTTTCAGTTTTGACCCCCTATCCTCTTCCGCTGCTTGTACTGGCATTGCAGTCAATGATATCTGCCCATAAATCCATTACATTTTAAGAACAAATAATGTTTTATTTACCCTTGTAATAAACCGACACTGCCACTTTAAATTTACTTTGATATACTTTGATAATTTGGTGTTCCCATACTTATTGTCGGTAGTATATATATGATATCTGAGATATCAACATCTGTTTTCCAGAAAGGCATTTATCCACATGGAAACAGCAAAGAAAACGGTGCCGGATTTTGGAAAATATGATAATCAGGAATGATTAGTTTTAACTATGATGTTGAGCAGGGGACAAAAAGAGTTTCTTTGATGGGGTATTCCAAACATGATGTACAACAATGTAGCTCGCAGAAGCTCCTCCATGACAAACGAACAAAACATTTCTTCTTCAGGTCCTTCTTGTAAATGTGATGTCAGCCGGTCTATTCAGAGTCGCGAAGATGCGGAATATGACCTCAATATTCTCATCCTCTGGACCGACTGACAACTGAAACTGCGACACAAGCTGAAACAAGAATGATTCAAAATATATTTTCACAAAACACGGACCACGCGGGGTTAAATAATGTGTATATTTTGAAAAGTGCGAAAGACGAATACGTGAGTTAATCACTACTTGGCTAGTATTAAAGTACTGGTCCCGACCAGTCAAAGCAGTGAGTGCTTTTGAAGCATACCAGGGTCTCGTGGTTGCACACTCATTCCCTACCTTCGTGTTCACTGTACCTGTCTATGTTTAAACAAAATAACCTACATATTATTTTAAAGAAAAGTTGAGGGACCAAATATTTAAATGACATAATCAAATAATTAAATGACATAATCAAATAACACGACAATCATTTCAATTTTCAGTTACATAAAATCCATACTCGGTGTACTTTCTTTTGCCCTTCAGTATAATTACTCCGTTATGACCATGCAGAATAACCGTAGTTTTGTAAAAGAATCGGCATTCTTTAACTTATTTTGAGTAATATATGTCCAATTCCATGCAGTATCACCTTCACGATAGCCAGATATATGGCTTGCTCAGCAAATCGTCTCCCGAGGCAGATTCTAGGCCCGAAACTGAACGGCAGGAGTGCTATACTTGGTATGTGTCTTTCTCTCTTTCCGCTTGATCCTCTCAGCCAACGTTCGGGAAGAAATGAGTTGGGATTTTCGAAATATTTTTCATCTTTCAGAAGTCGGGGACAGCTCAGTGCGATATTGGTCTGGAACATATATACATATGGTTCTGTGATAACGCATCCGAATCACGTGGTTTTACGGAAGACCATCATTATGAGACAATTCCTTTTTCTTTGTTTTCTCTTGGGGAGTCATAAATATGTTAGACTCTTTCCAAACACTAGATCTTTGTTTGAGAAACTCATTTAAACTTTTACTTAAAATGTGTATGTATGTAGACTTGGCCTCGTCGCTATATGGCTGGAATAGTGCCGATGCGACGTAAAACTTTAACTCACACAATTCCCTCGACGCACTCAACTCAACCACCTCAATCCCACCTCAGCCCTCCACTCCACTCACTCACTGTTTACCCCTTTCGGTATCCTGTACCCGCCGATGATAGAGTCCTCTGGAAGTATCCTTGACGGACCCGTTGGTAAGATAAAGATGATTCTGTGAAACAACATATGTAAATGTCTAAGTTGAGGTGAAGTGGGTTGAAATGAGGGTAAACGTCAAGGTACCTGCATTAAATAGTGGCCCCTGTGAAGGAGTGTGTGTGTGGATGCTTGAACTAGTCCGGGCCTTTGAAAAGGAGCAGGAGGAGGATGAGCATGTGGATGATTGAACAAGTCCGGGAAATTAAACTGGAGCAGGAGGAGCATGTGGATGATTGAACTAGTCCCGGGCATTAAATTGGAGCAGGAGGATGAGCATGTGGATGATTGAACTAGTCCGGGGAATTAAACTGGAGCAGGAGGAGCATGTGGATGATTGAACTAGTCCCGGGAATTAAATTGGAGCAGGAGGATGAGCATGTGGATGATTGAACTAGTCCGTGGAATTAAACTGGAGCAGGAGGATGAGCATGTGGATGATTGAACTAGTCCGGGAATTAAATTGGAGCAGGAGGATGAGCATGTGGATGATTGAACTAGTCCGGGGAATTAAATTGGAGCAGGAGGATGAGCATGTGGATGATTGAACTAGTCCGGGAATTAAACTGGAGCAGGAGGATGAGCATGTGGATGATTGAACTAGTCCCGGCCTTTTCAAAAGAGCAGGAGGAAGACGAGGATGAGCATGTAGATGATTGGACATATCAACAAATCAGACTATTAAAAATGATGATGATGATGATGATGATGATGATGATGATGATGATATATTGCCAACACATCCTACCAGGTATCCATTCACTGCTTAGTTAACACAGTTATTTTCTTAATGTCACCTGTCCAATGAGACACCACATGTGTTACACGTGCTTCAGAGTGGGACAGGACTGAGGCCCTAAAAATGCAAAATCTCCAACCTGCCAAACACCACCACAAGGGCTGTCCACTTAAATGTTTTTTGCCTGGCGTGGTAACAACAAGTACCATATTCAGACATCTTCGGTATGATGTGGCCGGAAGGTGGAACCCCCGACCTTCCTTTACCTTACCTTACCCGGAAGACGCTAAATATATTTTAAATTTTTAAATGACAGCACTCATGTCCTATTTCCTGAATTTCAACTTCTTCCTTCTGGCCGACGACTGCGCACGCCGATATTCAGAACAAACAAGGCTCGAAATCCATTCATCCCAGCAAGCATCAGTGTTTTAAATGAATTATGTTAATGTTTGTTTATCATTTTATAATACTTTATCAATTGTTTCAAACTGTTATATTAATATACTTCTAGTGCTAATGTTCCTCAGCAAAAGTTTTAATGTCACCACTATATAGCTCTGAATCTTAAATATATTACTATTTATTCATCATTTATCTTTACCTAATATATTAGGCTTTGTTGCTATCTGTTTTAGTACTACTAGTATTTGACATATATATGGGAGCTTATGTACATGTATCTTTTGTTGTATTGTATGTGTTTTCAATGTTAACCGTGCAAAGCAAATTTCCTTCGGGATAATAAAGCATTATCTTTTCTTTATCTTATCTCTGTCCAAATGACAACAGAGGCGAGCAGAGATACCAGAAATTGATTTAACACATAGGACCCATTTAGAGAATGAACCGGAATCTTCGCGTTATGAGGAACATCTTCAACCACGACGCTACTTATACGTTTCGTTATAAAGACAATATTGAACAAACTTGATGGATAACAACTTCTTTATATTCGTGAGTGCGACGTTTCGATACAAATTCTTGTACCGTTCTCAAGCATAATGGAACATGAAGAAGGGGGGCAAGTATATATATACTGGATGTAACAATGTAACAAAGAAAACAACATAATTAACATAACTGGCTAGGCAGAAAGCTGATGAAGCCAGAGAGTAGACAAAGGACAGGCGTGGAAGCCAGTGATAGAAAGCTGATGAAGCCAGAGAGTAGACAAAGGACAGGCGTGGAAGCCAATGATTGTTACATCCAGTATATATATATATATATATATATATATACGTCCCCCTCCTTCATGTTCCATTATGCTTGACAACGAACGGTACAAAAATATGTATCGAAACGTCGCACTCACGAATAAAAAGAAGTTGTTATCCATAAAGTTTGTTCTATATTGTACTTCCCAACTTCTAAAATGCCACTCAAAGAGGTTATAAAGACATTGTTATGTGGCAGTGTTATTCAGTGTAACAATATTCCAGGTGTGTAACATTGTACAGTAGTGGGCAGTAGTATGCTATATTTAGAAATGTGCTATATTTAGAGTTCTGGGGTTCCTTTCACGAAGCACCCTTTACTAAGGTTACCTTAGTGACTTACGATCACCTTAGTGCTTTGTGAAAGGAGGCCCTTGAAGATACTACAAAGTACTTGATTCAATTGGTGTTTCCACTACATTCTGGCACAGGGGGCTTTCTAGAACATTGTATATAAGGGCAGGTCACTCTTGCCTCCCATCATGTCACATACAAGTTACAGAAGGTCGCGGGTTCGATCCCCGACCGCGTCATACCAAAAGACGTTAAAATATGGTACTTGTTGGTCCCTGTCTGGCGCTCGGCATTAATGGGTACAACAAAGACTGGTCGGCTCGGAGTCAGTATAATGTGTCTGAGTGGGGTATTCATGCTTCACTGCGGCATGGTATCTCAGTGAGCTAGCACTATAAAACCAGCTTAAGTCTGGGCTAGTACAAGCAGCCCCACATACACATACACACGCATGCACGTCGTTATATGTATACGTTAGCACCCTCCTCAAGGGTGATATGGATTTCAACGCTCGAGCCGTCAGGCGAGAGCGTTGAATCCATATCACCCGCAGAGAGGGGGGTGCTAACCTACTTATACCACGTGGGCGCCGAATGGACTCGTACATTGCTTGTTGCACGTGCGTTTCCTGCACCGCCAGGGTTGTTATCCACATATCAACCTCTGCACGTGCAGATAGAAGGTTGATACACAGAAAATCAACCTGCCAGAACAATGGACATAACATACCCTAGTGGTATAAGTATACGTTAGCACCCTCCTCAAAGGTGATATGGATTTCAACGCTCGAGCCGTCAGGCGAGAGCGTTGAATCCATATCACCCGCAGAGGGGGGTTGCTAACCTGCTTATACCACGAGGGCGCCGCATGGACTCGTTACATTTGCTTGTTGCTCGTGCGTTTCCTGCACCGACCAGGTCGTTATCCACATATCAACCTCTGCACGTGCAGACAGAAGGTTGATACGCAGAAAATCAACCTGCCGGAACAATGGACATAACACACCCTAGTGGTATAAGAGCGAAATATTCTCCAGCGCGACGTTAAACCCAATTTCACCTCACCTCACATACAAGTTACAAGAAGTGTGGAGATCATTCACACCCTGGATACCCAGCCCAGGCCTATATTTGGGATACGTGACCATTATTACAATGGGGTGAACATTACCATCTCTATCTTTATTCCTATAATCACTGCTTTTGTATAATACTGCCTTTCATACCCGTGAAGATCCGGGTCAGAATTGGTCTTCAGCAACCCATACTTGTCGTAAAAGGCGAGGTGGTCAGGCTTGCTGACTTGGTGACACGTCATTGTATGCCAATTGCGTAGATGGATTCTGATGCTGTTGACCACTGGATTGTCTGGTCCAGACTCTATTAGTGACGGACCACCGGGATATAGCTGAATAGTGCTGAGTGCCGCGTAAACAACCAACCTTTCATTTTGTACTGTTCCGCTAATACCCTTAAAGTGATTTGTATCAATTTGGAATACGATTGTCAATTTTATCACATTGCTTTGTGCACACTCCGGAACAGCGATGACTTAACATAACATCACTGCCACAGGCTAATTTGCATATCACGTGACCGGACGTTTCTCTTGTTTGTAATCAAACGCGCATATTCATAATAAGAAGAGACTGGGCTCACGAAAGCTTTTCGGCGCTCTCTTCATAATGTTTTACATTGTTACATATATATTCTTCCGCAACTGCGACAGTTAGGTCTATGACAGTACATATTTAGATATCAAACTGGCTGCATCGTTTGCTCTCCGTCGGCTTCGATGACTGCACGTGGAGCCGTACAACCTATGTAAACAAAGGATCGCTACGCAAATCGAAATAGTGTTACATGTTTGGGGATATTTTCTCAGTGAAACTTAACCATTCTATTAAAGATGTTTAATTAGATATGTAGACTCGTCAAAAATAAAAGAGTAAAAGAAATCTGTACATTATATTGAATGGACATTGCAAGATGTGACGAATCGTCACATTTTTGTGGCCTGTGGCAGAGGAACTATGCTGGCTTGCCGCATGGAACTCTGGGTAGGAGTGTGTACTTCGTGGTTTGGTGGTTTCACACCAGGTTCTTTTACGTACTGGTTTCCGGTGAACTACTTCAAATGCTTCAATATGGCATCAACACGTTACAACATGGAGTGGTACCTCATAGACTCCTTGAAACACGCCCTGAGATAGGGCATGTCGTTGATGTGTTGTTCCGTAAGCTGGTCGCTGGTCCCCACTACAGACTTGATCTCCTCGTACAGAACCTGCTGCTTTTCTGGGAACCGTGCCAGATTGTACAGGAACAACATCAACGTCCTCGTTGTCTGCAAACAAAATCAGAGTGTCAGGCTCTATAAAAATAGTCCGTTTGACTCAAAAAGCGGACCGATAAATTGCAATCTAACTCGAAAACTAATAAACATAAAATACTCAATGAAACGCTGATCATAATGAAAACATCAGACAACTATCATTAAAATATCGACACAGTTCACTATTTGTTACGAGGGAGGAGTGCAGAGAAAGGGACAGCCAGGTGTTAGAGAAGCATGTGCACAAGTGCCGACAAAGTTATTGATTCATTAACCTGTGCTATGCCGTCTCCATCCTTTCCCGCACACCTGGCTGTCCCTTTCTCTGCACTCCTCCCTCGTAACAAATAGTGAACTGTGTCAATATTTTAATGATAGTTTGTTAAACATCTTTTTTAATTTTAGGACATAAATTCTGCAAACAAATCACAGAGTTGGTCTGATATTTTGATTATGATCAGCGTTTCATTGAGTATTATATATTTATTAGTTTTCGAGTGATTGCAATTCATCGGTCCGCTGAAATAGAACCTCTCAATATACCTTAGTTAATTGATCTATTTTTGCCTGTACGCATGTAAGAACAAATTTATTGAGTATTTACAAACCTCCAAGCGTACTTGTACGTAACAAACTTAGTGGGAATTGAGTTTTTACATAAATATTTGCGTAATTTACGCAGATACGCAACTTATCTGTACCTCTGTAAATGTACGCCGCTTTTGACAATATTCCTGCAATATCACGAAATATCATATTGAAATGGGCTCCAAACATTGTACCTCTGTGAGGCATCGAAACAGTGTCTTTGGCGTGACGAGCAAACGCTTTAACCACTAGGCTACCCAACTGTCCCTATATAAAAGAAGTTGAAACAAAGTCAGATGAATGTTAGTTGAAGTTTGGTCACCCGAGTTCACGATGAAAGTTTGAATATTGAACAGGATTTCTCCAAATGTTTTCAACTAATATTTTTAAGCAGCATTCAATCTCTTGCAACAGATGGCTGTCTATGTCATAACTGAGTACGTTTGTCGGTAGTCGTACGCAGAAAAGCATCTTTTCAGAAAATATTGAATGAAATATATTTTACGTGAATACTTATCAAGTATGAAGCTGGAAATCTGAGAGCACATCCATGTGAGGAAATGGGTGTTTACCTTTGATGATGGCAATATTTATTTTGACATTAAAAATATTTTTCGCATATAGGAAGACTGGTCATTTTTCTCTCTGTTGCGCAACCCTTGAAGCAAGCGACATATTGCGCTCGGGCTTTTTGTATACAGATATAAATCGACGATCGATCCTCAACACAGTTACACATTTCGGGGTCACAAGTTTAACGTGTGTACAAAAACGAATATATGGCACCAACATTTGGATAGGTGATGCACATCTTGTCACTTACCGCATCAGCACCGGCGTATATGTTCTCGGCCATGACATTGTATATTTCGTCCATGGTCAGTTTTTTGGACGCCAGCAAGGCCAGCAGCAGGTTAGGGTCATTCGGGTCCAGTGTCCCCTCCTTCTCCCGCCTCGCTATCTCCTCGTTTGCTTCCGTCACATATCGTCTCGACTCCCTGGGGAAGATAATGGACGGAGACATCAGTAATGCTGGATCTGTAACAACTTGTATCCTCAGATGGCACGGGAAAAATATTATATTCAAATCCAAGCTGTTAGATACAAAATACTTCAATGCATACAGTTTTTATCTCTGAAGGTTTGGTGAAAGGAAGGTAGAGGCTTGGGAAAAAATCATATTTTTGCCAAGATTGTATATAATTCATGTATATTTCGATTTTTTCCAGGCATTGCCCTAACCTCTACCCCATCCTAAGTGGTGGGGTAGCCCAGTGGTTAAAACGTTCGCACGTCACGCTGAAAGCCCCGATTCGATTCCTCACGTGGGTACGATGTGTGAAGCCCACCTTTGGTGCCTTCCTGCTGTGATATTGCTGGAATAGGCCTATTCTGAGAAGCGGCGCAAAACCAAAGTCATTCACGCAAAGGTAGCGAAATATGCCCAGAGGACCCGAATGCCTGCAGAGGAAGCTCATTTTAATGGCGACGGAAAATGCTTATTGCCACTTACTCGGTCAGGAAGTTGAGTGCAGTCTCCAGAGTTTTGTAGTCTTTGGTCGGGAAGAGTCGGTGGAGGTTGAGGACGTACAGTGTGCTCATGATTTTGAATAAGTTATTGGTCTCTTGAATAAACCGCTGCTGTTTGATGTTGTAATCCGCACCTTGAGCTAGGAAGCCCAGCCGTTTGTTGAAAAATATTGCGCAAATACCTGGCACATAGACAAAGAAAGAATTAAAGGAAGACATGGAGCGATCCCCAAAGACTGGACGACCTAAAGTTACACGTGACTTAATACATCACAACAGAATTGCCTTTCTATACACACCAGTGTAAAACTACCCCTTCGGACCATAAATTGGTGCAGGTAAACTCGCAAATATACTCTTAAAAAAGGTAGGGCAACTTCATTTTTCCTTTACGATTGAAAATAATGGGAGATAGATCAGAGTCAATCATTCTTGAGATGATAATAATGAATGTTTTGAGAGTGTATCACCACTTGCACTTCCTTATGATCATGGCTGTTTGTACAGTAATCGCTCTTGAAAGATGATTGGCGTATGACGTGAGACTTGTGTACGATGTGTACGATTTTCTTTTTCAAACAAAAACAAACTGCGAGAAACAAACACTAACAACTCTGTGATGCAAGATGATTGTCAAAATTAATGGTCTACGGTGATTTATCGACCTTCTTGAAATCCGTCAAAATCGGAATGACTATGCGCGTGTATGGGGCTACTGCGTTGTGCACGTGCATCCCCTCCGTTGTGTTTAGGGGTGGTGATAAGAGAAATGGTGGTGAGTTCATAAGATGTCTGTTTGGAAAAGTTTGTAAACGCATATATTTCCTATCCAAATTGAAAGTTCAGGTTCCTCTACTCTTTTTTAAGAGTATAGTATGACATTTTTACGCCTCGTTATAGCATTAAACAGTGCATGGAATGCACATGACTTCAACCTTTAAACAATTATTAGCATGTAGAGGTCGAGCAATAACAATTAACATAAACAGAGAACTTTTGCTAAACTGTTCAAGACATCTGATTTGAATGATGTGTCTTCAATACTCCATTAAAATAGTTTTCATCGCTTTGTTTCCGCTCATCTGTTCAGAGAAAGTGTAATCCCAAATATACTTCTCATCAAAAGTTTAGACTCACGAGTGTAAATATAGCCACTTACTTCAGGCAACTGTTCTAAACTAAAGTTTGCAAAATATGCCATACTGTTTAAAGGTACTGTTTACATTGAACTGATGCATTGTAAAACAAATTCGTAAAGATTTATTGCCATGAGTTCAGTAAATGATGAAAATTGGCGAATTCTTAACAAACTTTACACACTTTACAACAAAGCTGTTCACATGCACGATATATGCAATGCTTTTCAACAATTTGATGAATGACCCTCGTGCAATTCAGCTGCATAAAGGTTGCAGTTGGTTCCCCAGAGTTAGTGGAGGAATCAATCTTCGATGTAACCATATATATATATACAGGGGTGGAAATAACTTTAATATTGCTAGTGTACTCCGGAACAGTGGCACATGTAAAATCACTTGCCCTGATTATTTGTCCACTATACCGACCGTTTTCTTGTTGATTTTTTTAATAAACAACATAATTAACATTGGAAAGTCAACTGGACACCGGTACAGTGTGATATACAAATTTGCTTGCCCGACAGAAAAAAACACTGGACTCGGGCGTCGGGCAATGGGTTATTTCCACCCCTGATATACATAACATATAGTGAGTGTTTTAAGTGAGTCTAACCGTTTGAAGAGACGTATATGACATGTACTTCATGTTCAGATGGATAATCCAGACTGTTTACATATTTTCTGGTGTTTCTGTGTTAAATGTTTGCTACTGAGCAGTTGGCTGTGGCTCACAAAGGTGGTGGGGTAGCCCAGTCTTTAAAGCGTTCACTCGTCACGCCGAAGACCCGGGTTCGATTCCCCATATGGGTACAATGTGTGAAGCCCATACCTGTTGTCCCCCGCCGTGATATTGCTTGAATATTGCTAAAAGGGGCGTGAAACCACACTCACTCACTCACTCAAACTAGACAGATGATAAGTCAGATATAAGTTAAGTAAAATACATGTACCTTCTGTGACATATCTTGAGATGACGTCCTTGACCTCTTCAGGAGACAGTTTGTCCCCCATGAAGTGTTTTACCATGTCGTCGGCAACCGCGTTCTGTGAGGGGAGGTAGTAGAGAGCGGCACGGGGACGTGTGTACAGCTGCTGTACCTTGGAACGTAGGGCCAGCCAGTCGGGTCCGCTCCTGCCACCAGCCAGAATAGCATGAGGTTAGACGGGGTGACACTTGTGTCGCGACGGGCATACGTGCGTGTGTGTCTGTGTGCGTGCGTTCGTGCATGCATGTGCTTACGTACGCTCTCACCCCTGCAAGATTATTACACTTATGAAGCGACGTGCAAACGTATGTGTACTTTAGCGTGTGTCTGTGCATTGTTTATAAGATTAGTGCATACGGAGTATGCGTGCGTGCGTGTGTGTGTGAGAGAGAGCTTTTACCATAGTCCAGACTAATGCAGGTTTTATTGAGCTACCCATCAGACACCATGCAGCAGTTTAATTCTAATACCCTACTCAGGACGGACCAGTTTGTTTTGTCTCCTTCACGTCAAGAGTCACAATGAATGATCAAGCCCACTGAGATACCAAGCTGCGGGATAGATGGATATCCAACTTACACCGAAAATACATTTACCATCTTTATTTCCACAGTGTAATATACAGTTGAGCACATGTATGTAGAATACATTCACATCCATATACTCATACTTTCACAAATATACCGAGTAGAACAGTCCTTGCCCTGTCTCATCAAACCTAATGTCGTCAGCCAAGGAGTGTTACTATCACCATGTAATAACGTATTTCGGTATAACGCTGCTAGATATCTAACCACCGACTTTCCACTCCACAGGCAGACCTGCTTTCCACTCGCACTAAAGACCTTCTTAAAACTATTCCTAAAAAGTCGAACTATCTTCGACAAGAGGATTACTAATTATTGAGGGATTTTCAGAGGCATAGCTCGGCCAGTTTAAGCCTGATTATCGACCAAATAATTTCTCAGACATTATATAGTGCGAAATTGATATACAAACTGATGGACACACTATAGTGCTGTCGGAAATAGAAAAAAACTGTTTTTAGGCTCTTACTCTGTATCCCGAAAATTTACATAATTTCAAAAAGCATGTGTCGAAATAACCCACTTCGGCCTAACTGGGCATTCAGTGGGATGCGTAATACGATATCCAGAAAAGCATGTTTACTCGTAAAATCGGGCAAAACTTAGAAAAAATACGAATAGCTGCTGAAAACAACAGATCAGACTATAGATGGCAATTAGGTCGCTCAGCCAGGTATGACGACGGACCGTCGACTCACCTGGCATGAAATGCACGTGCTGCCTACAGGCACAAGGGGACATCTCAAAGATAGTTTGTGCTTTTTCATGTGCGTTGACTATATCTCATCTAGTAATTAACATGCATCTTACGTGTTTTTCTTTCATAAAGTTTATGTTGAGATATGTAAAAGAGTATGATACCCAAAACCATAGAAACGCACCGTAGTATATAGGTGGCATGACCACCCGAAGATCGACAGGACTGGATATTATTTGTAAATTGTTATGACGTGCCGTGTACCTCCCCAGTATAATTGCCCTAAAGGATTATCTTATTTTAGCTGATATCTCTATCCCCCAGCCCGATCCCAGGTTTTGCTTTTGAGACGACCCCTCCTATCTGTTTCTTTTTATAGTGACAGTGAGACTCCATGGTAGCTACATCCTTAATAGTTTCAGCATAAAAGTTATTATTTTTTACGTCAGCTATCGTTTATAATTTCAAATTAGGCATTTAAAAAGTGTCCTTTACAATACAATATCGTCGCACACTAATTTGATGAAAGACATGGTCTATTCCAAATAAGTCTTTTTGGACTTGGACAAAAAAACCGCATTGGTCATTTCTGCACTAATTTCCCCTCAGTAAAGTCCTTTTTCTCCGTTTCCTATCTCTCTACCACTGAAACTGTAGTTAGGCCGAACTTAGTTTAACAGATATTTCACACTTTCACATATCAACTACATGAATTGTAGAGATAAACGAGAAAATACACTTTTTTTCTATTTCCGACAGTACTATAATTAAATATACTCATACAAAATCGTAGAAATGTTTTAACTTACGACAATGAAAGTGGTTTTACTTTCTTGTTTTTCTGGTAGTAGTACAACATGATGTCGATCTGCATATGGTCGGGGTACTTCCCCTCACACCGGAGAGCTGTCTCCATGTCCGCCGGGTTGTCCAGTAGTAGAAACCATGGTCCAAACTTGACCCGGACGATACTCCCGTACTGCTCGTGCAGCCTCAAGAACAGCTGGTCAAGTCTCTCGGGGGACAGTTTGCCTGGAGGGAAGGATGATTTAAGGCCAAATCGAATTTTATTGAAGTTATAACGCGCTATTTAGGCTTGTTTGTTTCGTTGCTTGTTTGATGTTTAACACACTCTGCAATATTCCAGGCGGCGGTGGTCTCAACATAATCGAGTCTGGACCATACAATCCAGTGACTAACATCATGACCATCGATATACGCAATTGGGATACGGTGACATGTGTCAACCAAGTCAGCGAGCCTGACCACCCGATCCCGTCAGTCGCCTCTTACGACAAGCACAGGCTTGCTTAAGACCAATTGCCACCCGGATCTTCACGGGAGACAAGCATGGGTTGCTGAAGACCAATTGTAACCCGGATGTTCACGGGTACCATTTTGGCTGGATGTGGGTGGAAAGATTACCATTTGTTACCTGGGCCCACTTGCACAAAGCGATCTGAGCGCTAAGACCATCGTAATTCTATGTTTAACTGTCATGATCGTCGTTGCGCAAAGTTGGTGACAAACCAAGAAACAATCAGAGCGAAATCAGGATTTCCAATGGATGACATTCGTGCCTACACTGAAAACCGAGTATGTCCGGATCATTGATGATAATGTTGATGATGAAGAGTGAGTATGGTTTTACGCCGCTTTTAGCAATTAATATTCCAGCAACATCACGACAGGGGACACCAGAAATGGGCTTCACACATTGTACCCATGTGGGAAATAGAACCCAGGTCCTCAGAGTGATGAACGGACGCTTTAACCATTAGGATACCTCACTGCACGTCACACAGTCACTCTGCAGAAACCCACAAGAATGGTCTTGGAGCTGAGACCAAAGACAATCAGGGCAACTATGGGATGTCGACCACAATATTAACATATATCAACTGCTATTCGAGAAATGGGTTTCACATATTGTACCAATGTAGGGAATCGAGCCCGGTCTTTGGCGTGACGAGCGAACGCTTTAACCACCCACCGTTCCGATACGATGATAAAACGTGAGGCGTTGTAATCTAGAGTTGTTGATAAAGCCTTGCCCTTCACGTCAAGAGTCCTTGTTTGGTTCTCCAGATCTGCACATGTGTGAAGCCCATTCTTGGCAGTGGATGGTGGAGTAGCCTAGGGGTTAAAGCTCGTCATGGCGAGGATCCGAGTTCGATTCCCCACATGGGTACAAAGTGTGAGGCCCATTTCTGGTGTCCCCCGCTGTGATATTGCTGGAATATTGCTAAAAGCTGTGTAAAACTAAACTCACTCCTTGGCAGTGTGGCACTCTATGCGAATGAGATCGTGTTACTGACAAACAAGGATAAGTTGGAACGGCGCAGAGAAGGCGTTTACGAGCAGTTAGGTGGTGCACGGCAATGAGCAAATCCATTTGGTTTGTGAAAGGTAAAGCAGCTGTAGGCATGTGCACGTGCCTTGCATGACGATGAAATTGATTCCGTGCGTAGCTGCACACGCCTTGCTCGTCGGTGTAGCAAGTCGCACTACACTTGATCGCGGACAACCTGGGGCCCCTTCCCTAACGATGGCAAGCGCCAGTGGGCGGCCGCACTCGTACATAATACGGGTCCGTTGTCAGGTAATTGCTCAACTTATCCTTGTTTGCCAGTAGAAGTCCCTGTATTCATCCTATGAACTTACCCAGAGGCTTGAAATGGAAGGCGGGTCCTATGACTGGCCACAGATACTTCCCCGATGGCCCTGGAACCTGGTCGAAGGATTTCACGTCGGTGACAGAACCACCGGAAGTGACGTTGCTTGTCAATCGGACGCACGCCTTCCACGACGACAAAGCTTTTGGTGAGCGCAGCCATGCTTTCTGAAGAAACATTTCACTATCACATACATCAGTGAGCTCATGGGAAGACAAAGAAATATCAAAGAAACTCGAAGAATTGGTACAGTTACAATTTTGTAACACCTAGCGTCAAAAACGTTCACAATTCAGTACAAACGGAACATAATTAAAATACGTGGGGATCCCGTGACCGAAACGTTCTCCAGTGTTTATGTCTGGTAGGGGTTTCATACATTGAGTTGAGCTACAATGGGTTCAATCTCGGGTTCAAGATTATTGCACTTGTTCTTCGCGAAGTACAAGTAATGTCGGAAATTGAAAAATACTCTTTTTTTTCATTTAGGCTTATATCTAGTATTATCTACTGTGGGTTATTTCGACATATGCTGTTTGCAATTGTGTAAATGTTACAGAGTAACAGCCTAAAAACGTTATTTTTTTCTATTTCCGACAGTACGTCTAATAATGCTTCCCCAGTGAGAGGCCGTGCCGCATTTTAACGTGGACGCCCCCCCTGACCTGACATGGACTACATATTCCGAGCTGCCCAGCACGTTTTAGCGCCATGCAGGGTAACACATGCAAGTTATTGATAGTATGACACGGCCGGAGATCAAACCACTGATGTTTCGATGACCAGGTTAGAACTGATCTTCAGTAACCCATGCTTGTCGTAAGAGGCGACTAACGGGATCGGGTGGTCAGGCTCGCTGACTTGGTTGACACATGTCATTGTATCCCAATTGAATGGATCGATGCTCATGCTTTTGATTACTGGATTGCCTGGTCCAGACTCGATTATGTTCAGACCGCCGCCATATAGCTGGAATATTGCTGAGTGCGGTGTTAAACAACCAACCAAACAACCAACACCATGGAATCATGACAAGATGTGCTACATAACAGACTGAACGTGCGCCTACCCTGATGAAGTTTGCCCACACTGTAAATCACTGTTTTGTCAAGGCAGGGCCGGACTATTTCAGGAAACCGTGATGTTGCTGAACTAATGCTGAACTAATGCTGAACTCTGGCTAAACTAATGCTGAACTCTGGCTAAACTAATGCTGAACTCTCGCTGAACTAATGCTGAACTCTGGCTAAACTAATGCTGAACTCTCGCTGAACTAATGCTGAACTCTGGCTAAACTAATGCTGAACTCTGGCTGAACTAATGCTGAACTCTGGCTGAACTAATGCTGAACTCTGGCTGAACTAATGCTGAACTCTGGCTAAACTAATGCTGAACTCTGGCTGAACTAATGCTGAACTAATGCTGAACTCTGGCTAAACTAATGCTGAACTCTCGCTGAACTAATGCTGAACTCTGGCTAAACTAATGCTGAACTCTGGCTGAACTTATGCTGAACTCTGGCTAAACTTATGCTGAACTCTGGCTAAACTAATGCTGAACTCTGGCTGAACTAATGCTGAACTCTGGCTAAACTAATGCTTAACTCTGGCTAAACTAATTCTGAACTCTGGCTGAACTAATGCTGAACTCTGGCTAAACTAATGCTGAACTCTGGCCGAACTAATGCTGAACTCTGGCTGAACTAATGCTGAACTCTGGCTAAACTAATGCTGGACTCTGGCTAAACTATTGCTGAACTCTGGCTAAACTAATGCTGAACTCTGGCTAAACTAATGCTGAACTATTTATTATGTAAACGTTTGTTAAATGAATGTCGATATAGCTGCTTGGAATGGACAATGTGTTGACTGTTCCAGAAGATCCAAATTAAATATTGTCCATAATACAAACCCTTAAAGATATGTATGTTCACAAGGGGCTGCGTATTATGTATAAGTCTAGTAAATGTTTTTATTCCTATAAGCTTTTTAAATCCAATATATACTCAGAAAAATATTTTTTACATGTCATGCTTAGAAAATTCAGAATTTCCTTTGCACAATTTCGATGTAGTTCCCACAAACTAACAATTGAACTGGGAGACATAAAAATATATTGACAATTTAGATATGGAATCAGTGTAAGCCAGGTCTTCCTGTTAAGATGCCATAAATATGATGATCTAACTTAAAATCTGCAAATGTGTCTAATATCTTCAGTTAGCATTGACGTTATTCGACATTTGTCCACATATATTTATCACGCTATGCTAGAAATAGGCGTCTGTATACAACCGCTGTTCAGTGCACGAATGTTGCGACCAGAACTGGGATACGACCAGAACTGGGATAACTATAAGAACTTGTTTACTTTCAACTATGTATTTAATCGACAAACAATTATTAAGAGCAAAATCAGCTGCACAACTCATGACAAAAATCAGAATTATTTTAGAACACAAAGTAGTGTTTGAACTATTTCCATTAACGTGGCCGATTATATGATATTTATTACGTGATGTAAATTACATTATGCTTGCATTATAAAACAACACAGTTAATGAAAATGAACCGTCGTACACCATGAGAGGTTTGCTTGAGTGGGAATTGCCACACGATATAAACGATTGAATAACTGACGAGTACAAAAATAATTAGGAACTCTTAAGGTGCTTCCAACCTATATTGGAAAATTAAATGTGAACTACATATTTGCAGAGGAATATGGAAATATGTAACTGATAATTTTCAGTGTTTCCCCAGAAAAACATAAACTAAATCATATTCCGCGCATAGATCGCCTTAAGTTTTAGAGTTAACCGGGAGCAGTACTGTCATTCAGTCATGCAGCTTACCCACAGCTTATCATTAGATATCAGGGGCGGTATTCTAAATGAATCTAAGATTTTTGTCTTAAGTTTTTATTTGGAACTTAAGACATTTTAGAATACCGCTCCAGGGTCTTATTTCAAACCTTACCTCTAAACTGGCCTTCATAGAATCCGGCTGTTAAGAGGGTAAATACGGTATCCTATAGGAGGCCTCCCGGCCACCCCTAGCCTTGCTCCAAGGCTGTACTGAATGTAAAGCAAATGGCTGTATTGTCAGTCTATTCTTTACAGAGGCACGTCTTTTTGTTCACAGTTACAAAGCTAATTTCGACAAAAATCAGAATTATTTCAGAACACAAAGTAGTGTTGGAACTATTTCAATTAATATGGCCGATTCTATGATATTTATAACGTGATGTAATTTGCAGATTCTATGATAAGGGGACAGATAAGGGGACAGTACAACCAGTCTGTTATTTAAATTTCTTTTTAGAAATTTTCATTTAAACTATTGATTACTACCTTAGAGACTTAATGCAAGTTACGCCACCTCCAACAGACCGGCTTACAGCAGACATAGAACAAGGTCAACTAAGGAACAGTCAGTGCCATGTACATCCTAGTGTTTCGATAAAAAGCGGGGGAAACACGTTGAAATTGTCTAAACTACTCACCAAACACGCCATGACGTTTTGCAAGGTATATATCAAACCTCGAATTGCGCAATCCGAACGGTGCCTGGAGTAAATACACTTTGAGCTGTTTTGACCCACATACCGAAGGACCTCAGCTGGCGATGGGTGTAATGTTTTGTTTTGCCCACGGTGTAAGGGAGGTAACTCGATTTGTCAGAAGTAGAACAAGAGTCAATGTGAGCCACAATAGTGTATTCGACTAGCGCGTCTAGCAGTCACAGGTTGAGAGGAAGGTTGACGAACATTCAAAACAGTGTCCTCGTGCATTCATGAGTAAGTGTTGTCAATGTGTACTGTAGTAGTTTAGGGATGTTTACAATCTCCGTCCAGGAGTATGCTCCTGTTGGTTTGTCGTTTAACGCCGCATTCAGCAATATTCCAGCTGTATGGCAGTGGTCAGTAGATAATCTAGTCTGGTCCAGACAATCTAGTGATCAAAAGCATGAGCATCGATTTACGCAACTAGGTCAGCGTCGTTAGTGGCCTCTTATGACGAGCATAGGTTGCTGAAGGCCAGTTCTAACTCGGATCTTCACGGGTCTCGATCGATAACGAATACCATGACAACCGAATTTAAACAGTGTTAACGTTTCCGACTCATCTAAGTGACAAGACTGTCCAGATCGATTACGCAGTGCACTATTTACCAAGGCATTTTCAACCTGCTGTTATAAGGTCTTGGCAAATATTCCTCAGTTTCTAATTATTAAATTAATTTCTAAACCTGGAAACAGTCAGGTTGAATCTGGTATTCGAACCACGATCGTGGTTTCTAGCATATGGTAAGGCACGGCATATTGCATCTGCGTGGAATACTGGACCACAGACACAACTGGTTTATTCAGTAGCCAGTTTCTGCCAAATGTTTATTTTAAGAACTGAATTCATTATTTTCAGTAAAAACATGAGTGCATGGACAAAAGCACAGTGAAGTCAATTCTAATAAATATTTATGTCATCATTAATAACTTCACACACGTCTTTTTTGAAAATTTACACGAACCTCCAGACAATCCAGTGACTAACATAAGTATCGATCAACGCAGTTGAGATACGATGACGTCGCCCTGAGCAATATTCCAGCTATCTGTAAATAATCGAGTCTGGACCAGACAATCCAGGGATTAGCATCACAAGCATCGATCTACGCATCTAGGATACGATAACATGCATCACACAAGTTAGCAAGCCTGACCTGTCGATCATGTTATTCAATTCTTCCAACAAGCATGGGCTGCTGAAGACAAATTCTACCCGATCTTCACAGGTCAGTATTTCAGTAAGAACATTTTCGTTTATAAGTTAAGATCAGCGGACAACATCCATGTATATCTTCGACATTTACAGATTTAGTGATACCAAGCGGCATAGGTAGGATGGTGACAAACCAATAGTCATCCTCGGTTTTATCTGGGATTTATACCATGGTCATAGGATCCTTGCACACACAAGGGACACAAGTCTGCATATCTATCGCGGTGCCCATTATACTAATGAAATAAATAATAATTACACGGACAATTTCCCAGCACGTAGCAAGACATTTTTTCGTGTAATCCCGATAGGTTGGAAAGCTTTATATTTAGATAGTATTGAGGGCTTACCCGACTTTTTTAGCAACAATTATGGTAATATGGCTGAAATATTGCCCGGGCTTTATCCATAATGGTAGCTGCTAGGTATGTAACGATGCATCGGATTGCAATTGTTGAGTCTCCGATAGCAATTAATCGATGGTAGAAACGAAAAATTATCATTGCATCGATGGTATGCGTGACTATCGATAGTTTAGTAATTGACTTCTGTTGATAAATGCGCAGCGCAAAATACAAGATGTTTGGCGGCAGACTTGCAGCTTCATTGAGTTCATGTTTTAACTGTTTACTTGATCTGGGTTTCAAGTTCCTGGACAGTAATTAACACAGACTGACACTACTTCAACTTGTTTTTATCGCATATAAACTATACATAATTTGGGCAATGACTTCATATGAGACATATCAAGGAGAGAAAAAACTATTGCAATAGTTGGTCGCAATAGACAAGAGCTATCGCAATAGTATGTTTCAATAGACTATCGCTAGTTGTCACCCCTAGCAGCTACGCCCCTGACAAACTATATGTTCATTATTTGGTTTTCTCGACAATAAAAAAATATACTATTGATCTTTTCCTCCTCTTCATTTTATTGAAGCTTAAATTCATGCATTCGTTTGAAATCAAAAAGCAACAAATAATCATATAAACTGTGTCGGGGCGCTAGCGTAGGCGCAACAGACCCAGGGAACCAGGCTGCGCTGCTCCTGTGAAAAATACGTTGATTATCATATGAACCATTCTCTTCCCACAGAGGTTACTTGTCATTTCTTCCTACGAACCTCTGTTCTAATACGGCCTTTTCATGGTGCGAGTGTTCAGGATTTGTGATTGGTTGCAATCAGATTTAGTTGTGCAATCAGCGACGTTGTTTCAAAAGTGATTATTCGCAAGGCCTCGGTTATTTCCGTATGCTTCGGGAAAACTAGAAACTCTTTCCCCTGCGCGATGCGCAAACGTTTCTTATAGACAAAACTCAGTCATGCAAATGGCGGATCAATGGCGTCTCCATCGCCCTCGTTGACAACGGACAAGCTAGCCATTAAATGTCTTGTGTGTCACATCAACCCACGTTTCTGGCAGAGGAGGGATATTTGTGACCCAACATTTGCTTGTATTAGTCAAGTTGATGTAACACGTGTTCTGATTGGACAGAAAGAAGGGAGATAATTCGTGTTGCGATTTTATGCCGCTAGGGGATTTTACGAGAACCGGGAAATATGACCGTATTAGAACAGCGGTTCGTAGGAAGATATGACAAGTAACCTCTGTGGGAAGAGAATGCATATGAACATATACCTCTCATATGTAAGGGCTGAACACAATGATAAGTGAGTGAATAGGATTTTCCACTGCATTTAGCAATGTTCCAATAGTAACACGGCAGAGCATCAGAAATAGGCTTCACAGTAAGTTCACACATTGTACCGATGGGGGAGAATCTAACCTGGGTCTTCGGCATATCAAGTAAATGCTTAAGCCCTGGGCTACCACACACACCCGGCGAGGCAAGGACATCATTTACAGTGCAAATTAAAACTACCGAAATATGTTGCAGTTCATTTTTTTTCAATCTCACTAATATGAGATACAAAGTTTAACGCTATTGTGCACTTGGATTTGATTTTAATGAGATTAGAATTCTACCTATTTCACTGTCTTACAGATTCCTCAACTCAAATGCACAAACCCAGGTTCTGTTTCTTCGTGTAATATTGAGAGTTGCAGTATAAGTGTTTACGATAAGTGAGTGAGTGAGTGAGTTTGGTTTTACGCCGCTTTTAGCAATATTCCAGCAATATAACGGCGGGGAACACCAGAAATGGGCTTAACACATTGTACCCATGTGGGGAATCGAACCCGGGTCTTCGGCGTGACGAGTGAACGCCTTAACCACTACTCTACCCCACCGCCCCCGTTTACGATAAGAGACACTTGAGAGATTCTTTCACTGTGCAGTAGTGAGTTTAGTTTTACGCCGCACTCACCAATATTCCAGCTATATGGCGGCGGTCTGTAAATAATCGAGTCTGAACCAGAAATCCAGTGATCGATCAACAGCATCGATCTGCGCAACTGGGAACCGATGACACGTGTCAACTAAGCCAGCGAGCCTGACCACCCGATCCCGTTAGTCGCCTCTTACGACAAGCATGGGTTACTGAAGGTTCATTCTAAAACGGATCTTCACGGGTAGACAAGCATGGGTTACTGAAGGTTCATTCTAACACGGATCTTCACGGGGCCACTGTACAGTAATCGGGTGTCCCAATTTATGTTTTTAAAGAAGGAAAGGTCTACAATTGTAGAAACATGATTGGGTTTAAAAATAACAGACAGCAGAAAGGTTTATTCGGTAATTTAGGCTCAAGGCCCATAATACATACATCTGGCCAAAGTAAATACATACTGAGTAAAGCTGAGTATATAGAGAATACTACACGAGGTCTCATTACATACGAATTATACGAAACGAGTGTCCTTCCTATGGTATCTGACCGAGCGAAAGCGAGGTCAGGCCCCGATTTCGAAACAAACTTAAGTCTGAGTTTTGACTTAAGTCTGAGTTTTACTCAAATTTGAAACTTAGTAGACTTAGTAGTTTGGTGGATAGATTACTTAAGTTGTTTGGGCTTTTTTTTATTTAAAAAATGCACTTGAGTTAAAAATTCAGCTGTTTCAAATTGTCAAACTCAGTTTGAAATTTGAGTAAAAACTTAAGTTTGTTTCGAGAAATCGGGGCCAGATAACATAGGAAGGTCACGAGTTTCGTATAATTCGTATGTAATGAGACCGAGTGTGGTATTTTATTTATTACCCACGTCTTACATGCATTTAAATTGACAAAATAGCGTATTTTTGTTATGTTTTTGGTTTCAAACCGAAACCGGTTTCATAAAGAGGTTGCGGAAGAGTTTTGTACTGTAGTACAATATTTGCATGACGTCACAGTAATGACGTCACTGCCATGGTAACCGACGTCACGATGCATGTCAGTTGTCATCGCCTCGTACAGCCTCCTACAGTAAACTACTCCGTTGCACCTCGTTTCTTGGTTTCCAGTTGCTTCATTCGGCTAACATCACTGGTGGAAACATTGCGTTTATGTTTTTCGACGGATATAATGTCTCAGTTCGACTCACAATTAAACAGCGACACGACAACGTTCGCAATGTTTACATTCCCACAATGCATTTAAGTTGTAGAATGAATGAATTCACGTGTTTGTTATGAATGAAAAAAATAGTTACGTCAAAATGTGACCTAATTGAGAGGTCATCGGTTATCCAATCAAATCGTTAGAATTTCAGGTCAAGTCGTTACGACACAGGTCAACGCGATACGACACTCGTGTGACGTACGAGATTAATATGCAACTACCCATACGTTGACCACGTGGGTAATAAAGTTTATAGTATTAATTAATGCTATATGTATTATTCCTTATAAGGCGAACTAGTGAAAGACATTTACTCAATAAGTTTAAAATATGGATATTGCCCAATGACAAGAGTCGGATAAAGGTTACAGTTGTCGGTGGTTCAGTCAGATGATTTAAAAAACAGTGAGATCTTTGTTGGGAATATTTTGGACATATTAATAAAATATGGAATTCATCTTCTATGTAATCAAGGCCAGCAGCATGACAAAAGAGGTTTACATAACAATTTCAAGGAAACCACTAATGCATTATTCCCATTGCATTTCAGGTTTGGTCCTTGTCTTTGACTGAAAAGGGGCAGATAACTCTGAATGCATGTCAATGCTGTATCACAATGCACATGAATGTAGGACAAACATACATCAGTTTGCATTTTGTATGAATATTTATCAAAACAAAATCTGCTGGGTGGCCTCAACCAGATTACTTAGCAAAACAACACAACAAAGCAGTAAGCAGAAGCTGGTTTAATGTATCCAAGCTGAAACAGAAAATGATATGATGGCTGCTACATTGAAGTAATTTTTTCGATGTTCCGTTTTGGTATGAAACACTCAGCAATATTCCAGCTATGTGACAGTCTGTAACTAATATAGACCAGTCTCTGAGCTTGTGCACGATGTTCCACAATGCCAGGGTACACCCCTATCAATCAAGGCACTGGGCTGACCAGGTGATCCATAATGTTGCCTCTACCACAAGGAAAGGCTTCAGGGAACCACTGCAAATTATTCCTCCATGGGTTGAATCATATCTCACAAGCACCGTTCATGACACCTTTGACAGCACAGCTATGTTTCATGTTACAGATGAAAAGTTTTGATACCATACTCAACATATCTCAAAGTAGCACTACATTATTGCACAAAGAACATTTTAACATTAATGTGACAGATATTGGCGTTTAACGCTGCGTAAAGATTACTGCACCTATGTACCAACATGCATGTGTAATAGTCTTGATTAATGTAAGTTTAATAGTGCTGGTCAACTGAGATACTCCTGTTGAACATGGATACCCCTTCAGACACATCACAGTAACTCCAAGCCCACCTCCTAGTTCTAACCCATACAGGGTAACAATAAGTAGCATCTTTTACCATCTTTTGATCTACAGAAGCGGAGTCAAACCACCAACTTTCTGTATCCAGGCAGATGCTCTGTCCACTAGACCAGGGTGTAGTCTATTGAGATGGAAGTGAATGTTCTCAAACACAGTCACACTATTGTCATTTTAACCATAAACACTTTGACACATAAACAAGCATACAGAAACATTTATAAAACCATGACAAATCATTACCCATCACTTATGGGGAAATACATGTTTAAGAATAAGCACTAATGGTTCAACACTAGAATAATTGTGTACAACATGCACAAAGAACTGCAGAAAACAAATTCTCTGAAAACATCAATCAATATCACATGGTTTGAAGAATAATTACATCGACTAAAAATCTATTTTTATATCTGAAAACCATGGCAGAAATTTCATTTTTTCTGCTATCAGTTAACATGCACGGGTGTTCTGTAATGGATGCAATGCTTACTACTCTCATATCAAACATGCTTCATTCATGAAAGGGGCGGTGGGGTAGCCTAGTGGTGAAAGCGTTGGCTCATCACGCCGAGGACCCGGGTTCGAATCCCCACATGGGTACAATGTGTGAAGCCCATTTCTGGTGTCCCCCGCCGTGATGTTGCTGGAATATTGCTAAAAGCGGAGTAAAACCAAAACTCACTCAGTCAGTCATTCATGAAACTTGCTGTGAGGGAAGAAATAAGGGTTTCGCCACCATTCAAGAAAAACTACCATAAGTTTTGTAGTTAAATGTTCTTCTTAAAACCGCTGAAATATCTGGACATATCACACTATTGAGGAGAACAACATTCATTGATTTTGTACATGACATGCATGGGGGCCGTCACTTATTTCGTACATAAATTTTAGGGGGGACCATTCACATTGTACTTGCTTCTCCATGAAAATTATCATCACCCCCTCTAGCCATAAATAACGGTCCCTTACTTGCTATATTATGTACATGCAACACATATGTTCCCTTACAATACACTACTTATCTCCCATTATACATCACGCATTACTTAATTCCCTATATAAATCACATCACACTTATCTCCCTTTACCATACAATACTTGTCTCCCTTTATACATCACACATGATGCTTATCTCCCATTACACACCACGTATCTCCCTTTACAATACAATACTTGTCTCCCTTTATACATCACACATGACGCTTATCTCCCATTACACACCACGTATCTCCCTTTACCATACAATATTTGTCTCCCTTTACATCACACATGACGCTTATCTCCCATTACACACCACGTCTCCCTTTATACATCACACATGTCGCTTTGTCTCCCATTACACACATGATCACCATTTGTCTCCCTTTGTACATCACACATGACACTTATACATCACGATTACTTAATTCCCTATATAAATCACATCACACTTATCTCCTTTACCATACATTACTCCCATTATACATCACGCATTACTTAATTCCCTATATAAATCACATCACACTTATCTCCCTTTACCATACAATACTTGTCTCCCTTTATACATCAAACATGATGCTTATCTCCCATTACACACACCATTCTCCCTTTACCATACTTGTCTCCCTTTATACATCGTGATTATCTCCCTTTACAAACATCATTTGTCTCTGTTTACCATACACTACTAGTCTCCCTTTTCACATCACACATGACTTATCTCCCTTTTTAAACCACACCACACTAATCTCCCTTACATATCTCCCTTTACACACACCACTTACCTGCCATTTCTACACACTACTTGTCTCCCTTTATACACCACACCCTACTCATCTCCATATACACTCCTTACTTATCTCCCTTTACACATAAGGCTTATTACACTTACCATACATTACTTATCTCCCATTTCAAAACACCCATTACCTTTCTCTGTTATACACATCACACATACCTCCTCGTACACATCTTCCCTATCTTCCTTCTATACCTGTAGATCATACTTATTTACCAGTACACATGCTAGTTATCTCCCTTTTAAACCATACTTGTTTCCCTTTATAGATTATGATTGTCAAGATAAAGTACCTTTGGCAAAATGTCATGTCTCTGGAATGGTGAATAAAGTTCTGTGCATCCATCTGTGGAAAATCCATGAATGTACTGAAAGTTCCTTCAAGAACTTAAAAGATTTAAATACTTCAAAATTCCAGTGAACTTATTCCACTGAATATTATTTGAATTTGGAAATTTCAATTTCAATATTGGGAGCAAAATTTTGGCCTTGCAAGATCTTAGGCCAAAATAATGCTCACATACTCAACCACTTTTGAAATCAGTTTGAACAACAAGTCCTCACCAGTTATTCCAATCATTCTTCTCTGTCTTGTGTACACTAATGTTTTCCTCTACCCCAAGCAACAGCAGACATGGGCTGTGTTTGCTAAGCAATCTAAGCCCTACATATACCATTAGGGAGTTTTCATCATCTTTCAGCTAAGATCACTCTGGGCAGTTTCAGTCCACTGCAAGAATGACCTCCAGACTACAACAACTGTTACAGTCTTGAAATTCCTGCAATGCACATCAAGGATGGGTTACCATTGGAGCTGTCTGGAAGTTGATCTTCTTAATCTCAAACCCCGTGTCTCATTGCTTTCACAAATTGTTTGGTTTCAGGTCCTCCTGAATTGTATTTCAGTAAATGCTGTCATGCCAGGAACCATGCATATTTTCAGAGTTCCCAGTGTTCGAGACCTTTATCTTACAGCCTGCACAGACTGTTCCGCACCAACCTCCTGAATGAAGTTGTGTCTACAGATATGGCTGCCATCCTGGGAACAGCCTACACAGATTGTTTGGGTCCCGCGCCTCCTGAATGAGATTGTTCACCTGCCCCGACACACTCAGCTGGATGCCATCTTCAATACCCTGCAGCTTCTGCTGTAACCGTAGCAACACTCGTTCAGCCATCTTGTTTACCTGCTCTTGACTTTCAACTGCAACAGACAAAAGCACAATACAAGCAAAACAATCATGACAGGGGGGGGAGTTCAAATACACAACGAGCAGATTTGTTAGATCATTATGTGTCAGCTTGAAGCCCAAGGGAATAGAGGAGATAGATATTTACCTCTTCAGTGAAATTATTGAGTGTGGGTTGTGAGGAAGGAACCTAAAGATGGCAGAAACAAGGGGCTCAGGTTTGACTGTCCCTTTTTTCTCTCAACCGCCTCTTTATACAGTAACGGGTATAGTAATGTGCAGTATCATTGGACAAAATACTGTGACTATGTGTCCCAGTTCACCCAGCTGCAAAAATGGGTACCTTGTGAGGATGAGGCTGTGTGATAACTGCTGCACATAACAGGTTGCATGAGTTGAATACTACCTAGGGAGTTGGGTTGAATGCCAGAAAAAAAGACATCTGCTGATCAAGGGAACACTCAAGGGCTTTGAGCGTGTACTAGTTGCGTGGATATGTGTGCTATATAAATATCCTACCACCATCATCATCATCATCATCACCATACAAAATGCTGTCTTAAGTCCCATCATCATCATCATCATCACCATACAAAATGCTGTCTTAAGTCCCATCATCATCATCATCACCATACAAAATGCTGTCTTAAGTCCCATCATCATCATCATCACCATACAAAATGCTGTCTTAAGTCCCATCATCATCATCATCACCATACAAAATGCTGTCTTAAGTCCCATCATCATCATCATCACCATACAAAATGCTGTCTTAAGTCCCATCATCATCATCATCACCATACAAAATGCTGTCTTAAGTCCCATCATCATCATCATCACATACAAAATGCTGTCTTAAGTCCCATCATCATCATCATCATCACCATACAAAATGCTGTCTTAAGTCCCATCATCATCATCATCACCATACAAAATGCTGCCTTAAGTCCCATCATCATTATCATCATCATCATCATCATCACCATACAAAATGCTGCCTTAAGTCCCATTTTTCCCATCACATGTCACAGCATGGAAAGCCAACGTGAGTTAGGTAGCACAGTCGCTCTGGAGAAACCCACAAGCTAAGAGACCAAAGACAATCAGGGCAAATATAGGATGTCGACCACAACATCAACAGAGATCAGTGAGTGAGTTTGTGCCACTTTAGCAATATTCCAGCAATATCATGGCTGGGGACACCATAAAAGGGCTTTGAACCTGGGTTTTCGGCATGACGAGTGAACACTTTAACCACTAGGCTACCCCACCACCCCTCAACGGATATCAACTGCTATTCCTGTCACCTGATCTCTCTGACTGGTGCCCCATGTCAGTAGTGGAAATGTTGGCTGCAGTGGAGTTGAGGTCGCTGCTGTCCATGTCCCCACCACCCCGCTGGTTCTGTATGTTGAGGGCCTGCTGGGGGGACAGTGACCAGGCGTACAGGGGATCGTACAACAGCACCTGCAGGATCATCAACAGCGACTCCTGGTTGGTGTGCATCACCTCCATCATCTTCTCGCAACATCTGCAACAAAACACCAGGAATGAACAGAGTCAAATGAAAAGAACTGTCAATATTTGCTCCATCATCAGCCAATTTCGGGTCAAGATTTTTAGTGCCATGCCACTAAAACAAGTCATGTCAGCTAAAGGTAATAACTTCTCCCAATAACACATCAATACAATAGAAGTTACTGTACACAGATTCACAATTTTTCCGGCATCACAAAAGGAATAAGGGTAAAGCCAGTGTATGAAATAAGGCCGGTCCGACCACCCGAGACGGGCTAGATTTCTGCTGGACGGTCTAATTTTACAGCTAGCCAGCCCGATGGACGGGTGAAAAACAATATTCAGATAACATGTCCATTGGCACTGTCTATTCAGTATTTAAGAAGGACTGGTTAAACCTCTTCTGGGCTGGTAAGTTTTTGAAGTTACCAGCCCAGATGTCTGGCTGGGTTTTTGGCTTATTTCGTACACTGGTAAAGCTTCATTTGAGAGATGACCTTACTATTGCAGCAAACTGGGATTAGAGCACTGGCCCTTAATAGAGAATACACAACAAGATCTTTGTTTGCTTGCAATGCACCTATCATCTCCAATGGCCATACAAAGTTTGCTTAATTATTTGTTTTTTAGTTTGTTTTCATATGGTACATTTCAAGCAACCTGTAAAATATTGATTCTGGACCAGACAATCCAGTGATAGATGTTTTGAGCAGGGTATGAGTGAGTGTGTGAGTTGAGTTTTACGCCACACTCAGCAATATTCCAGCTATATGGCGGAGGGCTGTAACTAATCGAGTCTGAACCAGACAATCCAGTGATCAACAGCATGAGCATCGATCTGCAATTTGGAAACAATGACATTTGTCAACCAAGTCAGCAAGCATGACCACCCGATCCCGTTAGTCGCCTCTTACGACAAGCATGGGTTACTGAAGATCAATTCTAGCCCGGACCTTCACGGGTTACACAGGGTATGATAACATGATATCATCAAAGTCACCTAGCCTGACCACTTGATCAGTTATGTGGCCCATGATCTAACAACACCAAAGCCCACAGGGGCCTGTAACAGTGGCCTGACTGGCTGACTGACCTTCTGAAGACGCCCTCAACACCAGTGATGCCCATGCCATCCACGATGTCCCTGGTCAGGCGGAACGGGACTGTCTCTGGGGTGGGCAGTATCTTACCCTGCTCAAATGCAATTCCTGTCAAATGTATAACATATATGAACACCAGTAATCTCAAAACTAAAATCTCCTCCTTGGCATCCAGGGCCCGGTTCCTTAAAGCGATCGTAGCGCTAAGATGATCGTAACTCCCATACTTTAACATAGGCTTACGACTGTCGTAACGCTACAATCGCTTTGAGGAACGGGGCCCTGGAACATTAATGATAAATGAACATACCCAAATGATTTTTGTCACAAGACCTTTTGATGATGAAACACACTCGTAATGTTGTTCCAAGTGTATATCTTAAAGGGGGAAGTGTACACGAAGAAATCACATCTATTCTTATGTGAATCAAAGTGAACTGTTTTAATTAGTTAATACCAATGTTTGAAAATATACACTCATTTTTCTTACAATATAAGTATAACCCTCAAATAAGTGCTGAAATGTCATGCCAATATGAGGGCTTTGTTTGCCGAGCTAAACAGGCCAGAGTTACCGCCCCTTTGATTATGACGTAATTGGTGCCACTTGATTTTAAACTGGTCTCCTGTCTAGTCCCAAATCAAAAGATAATAATACTGAAATTAATCACGTGAAAAAAAGGTTGTGAAAATACGAAAGAAGCGTAACAGAAAATGTAAGCAGCAGGACAGATTGACCGTGAGTATTTTCATTCATAACTTCACCTCAATCAAAATACCAAATATGTATAACAATGTTGACGTCCGTATGACATTACTATCGGGAAGCGACTTTTTCAAAATGGCATGTTCACTAACACGGGTACGCCAGAGTTTTCGAGGAAATTTTTGTTGTTTCAAGCAACGTATAGATGCATAAATGTGACATGTGAGTAGTCCGCAAATTCTGTCAATCTGCTGGTTGTTATTTTCTTTTTGTTTTCATTGTGACCAAGGGAAAAAGTCAGAAATTAAGAGAAGTTCCGTCATCGTTGTGCGTGAGTTTGCGTCAGTCATGGCGTCATGCTTTCAGAATCTATAATATGTTGTGATGAATCTAGAAAATCATTGGAATAGACCTATTTTATTTAACTATCGCTTGCTACGATGCCGTTCCCATGCATGTTCTAAAACTAGTGAGCAAGTGTATGCAACAAGTAGGGGAACGGATATACAGTGTAAAATCTTAAGATAGGCGTTGTTTACATTTCAGTGGTCCTTTCCCAGTGCGGCATATTATATCCTCGATATATTTCGTCAAATTTCACTGAAACACTTCGTATTGGTGACAAAGTCCATTTGTCAGTTTATTTTGAACTGTATGAGGAATTCAGGGATTCATGTAAGAAAGATGGTGTTGAATTATACAATTGATTTTATGGACGAAACATAACCGACATACATGTGACGTGATTTTATAAACACTCTGTGATATGGCTGAAATTCACTTTGACGTTTTTTTGCGTATTTTCCAAAACATTCTCAGCGATTCCCGGTTCATCGACAATGTTTCAGAATGAGCATTGGTGATTGATCATACAACAACAAAACTACTGCTGATCACAATGATACGTCTTTTCCTTTTAAATTCAATTCTCCCAGTAAAATTTGACATTTGAATTAAGACACACTATAAAATACGCAAAACGCAGTGAATGGTGATTTAGTGTCAAAACTAGCGAGATTTACGATGCATGTAATGCTCAGTATATTTGATCTACAATGAGCGGATGATATCATAGAAAAACGAATTTCAAACAGAGTTTGAATTTATCTGCGTGATGTATTTGGATATGTACTATCGATATCAAAGTGAAGGTGGAAAAGGAGGGATATATCGTACGGTTTATGTAGGAATTTTAGTAACAAACGTAGAAGGCCGGTACATTCACTGATGGCAAGCTAGATGTAATGCATATACGTTTTAGTTTTGTGAAAAAAGATACTGTTTGAAAGGCGACCGACTCAGGTTGAATATGTTATACAATTTGGTTACGTGGTAACACTTTTAGTACAGTGTATACGTTTTTTCAAACTGCAACGTCATTACAGTGTAGAACTGACCACATAGTCAGCTGACGGCCAAGCAACAGGTGGATTAAAACAGTAGCCTGCGCAAGAACCACACCTATACCTGCACCACGTGAAATGGGTCTAATAAGGTCTAACGACGTCATTCGTTTATAGTTTGGGCACCAATGACGTCAATTTCATAAGCCATGGTGTGTTTATTGTGGACATAGAACTCTCAGTACATGTCGAAATATGAACTGATATAATGCAAAAAATAATTAGTTACTTCTGATATATGTACGGGTTTGGATATAAAACTACTTGATAAACACTTTTTATGATGAAAAAGTGCAAGACAAAAAGGTTGATTTTCGTGTACACTTGCCCTTTAACAATTAAGACCACTGTTGGCACAAAGTGCCACCCTCAAGGTCAATACTCACCGAGGTCAATATGGATGAGTTCTGCTGAGTTGCAGTCAATGAGGATGTTCATGACGTGGCGGTCACCCAACCCCAAGATGTAGCCCACTGCAAAATAAAAATAAAAAGTGCTGAATGTTTCGGGATTTGTTTTAGTCTGCAAAATATTCTTCATTGGAATATAGAAATATGTAATTTTTCAAGTAAAACTGATATTTTTATACTTATCCTGACTCATGATCTTTTGCTTATCTCCCTTTTCTTTTCGAATGGTAGTGGAAACACTTCAATCCCTTGAAGTTCCTGAAGCGGACGTAAAAATACACTCACCCATGAGTTACCTCCCTTTTGCCCTTTTCCGCGCAAACAGTCATGTGACCAGCCTTACTTGTCACTCTCTCCTGATTTTCTGCCCATGCACTTGGACCTGCTGTGACATCCAAAGTGTTTCCAGCGGGGAGGTTGGGAGGGCTTCTCGTCATAAGTCAGGATAAGTATAAAAATATCAATTTTACTTGAAAAATTACATATTATTTCTTATCCTGACTCATGATCTTTTGCTTATAGAATGGTGGTGGGTCAAGCCACTTTGTGGATGATTCAACAGCTGTCCTTAGATACGTCCTGTATATCTTCCCCATGGGAACTGCAAAACAGCATTTCCGTGATCCTATTCTTCCAACTTCCGTTATAACTCGGGGGGACCACTTTCTTGTCTTACGTCAGTCTCAGACAAGTTGAATCATGTTGATTCATGTGGCTACAGATAAACTAGTATCTTCTTATTCTAGATATCTTATAACAACCCATAGATTATGATAAGATCTTTATCATAAATGAGTTGCGACCCCTTCACGTACAGGTAAGATCTTTACCCATACAGGATCTTTAATCACTCATGCTAGCCTGTCCTAGACTGTGCGCATGGACTTTCAAACTAATACTTTTCCTTAGTAAAAGTTATCAACAAGTCAACATGATAAAGGTTGAGATTTTCCAACTCAGCGCCTTTGCGGAACCGTTAGTTGCTGTGCTACAACGAGAGGCCCAAATTGGTGAATGCCTGAGACGTCTTCAGTGGTTGGCAAACACTGTGTCCGACTTCCAAAAGCAGCCCTCCATAATTGCAGATATAGAGCAATTTCCATGCAGAGCCAGTGTTGACACCAGTGCGCTGACCAGGTAGTTGGTTCTTGGCAATGAAGTCCCATCTAAGTCCTAGATGAACTGCAGCATGTTGCCCCGTGTTGAATGTGGTTCGACCAAAGTCCAGCACATGTATCTCTGATATTCGAGCTGCTGTACAGAGTCTTCTGTGTCAGCAACTCGAAGGTAGTCTGATCTAGAGGTTCGTAGGCATCACTCGTAAGATGGCATAGAATTACATTCAGATCCCAGGCCAGAGCTCTGAACTTCTTTTGCTGGTCTTCAAGTTTAAAAGATCTCAGCAGAGCAAGTAATTCTGGTACTTTCGTCAACTTGATGCCTGTTTTCATGGTAATCACTGTATTGATGGCGGCAAGGTATGTAGATAATGTCGAACTTTTCAGATGTCTGGTCTGTCTAAGATGACACAGATATTCCGCCACTTGAGGATGAGTAGCTATCATCGCAGTGAAGCCTTTCCGCCTTGCATAAGTCTCAAACTTCAGCCATTTGTCATCATACAGGTTACGAGTAGATCTGCGTAACACTAGCGTTACTGCCTTGGCTGCCCTGGCGGAGTATCCTCTTTTCTTCAAACATGTTTGATAAGGTCCACACGTGTAGCTGGAATGCTGTAGGGTTCCAGTAGACTTGCTTGGTGTACGGATGTATTAGTAGGTTCGGCCAATCTGGTAACTTGATTAGGTCTAGGAACCATACTCTCGCTGGCCAGTATGGCGCGACCAAAGTCAGTTGTAGCGCCTGTGTCTGTTTCATCTTAAACAGTACTTCCGGTAGTAATATCGGGGGTGGAAACGCATAAGCGTTTAGTACTTCCCAAGATATGCTCAGTGCATCTGTTGCCAAGGCTTGAGGATCTGGAACTGGTGAGACAAACGTCTGTAGTTGTTTGTTGAACCTCGTGGCAAACAGGTCTATGCAAGGGGATCCTATTTCCCTTATGATGAGCCGGAATGCTTCTGGATGGAGCATCCATTCCGTAGGTGACGGGTGCAGTGGTAGGGAGAGAGCGGCTGCAAGTACGTTTTTGGTTCCTGGTATGTGACACGCCTTTATCCAGATGTTTGCTTCCTTCATGATGTGGAACAACTGGAATGTGAGCTGTAGCAGGCTTGGAGACCTTGTGGATCCCTGCCGATTTATGGAGAATGCCACTGTAGAGTTGTCCGTGTGGACCATCAGCATTGTCTGCAGATTCCTCCCTACGCGAACGTCTATCTTGAGAGTCCTCTCTTCACGAACCTCTATGTGTAGATTCATCTCTTCGCGAACCTCTGTGATGTGAGCTTTCTCTTTGCGAACGTCTGTCGCTAGCTGTATCCCTTTGCGAACTTCTGTGATGTGAGCTTTCTCTTCGCAAACGTCTGTCTCTAGATGTATCCCTTCGCAAACGTCTGTCGCTAGATGTATCCCTTCGCAAACGTCTGTGATGTGAGCCTTCTCTTCGCGAACCTCTGTCTCGTGATGAGTGACTTCATGAATGTCTGTGAGATCTCGATCTAGAGCGGCTAGGTGTAGGAGATGGATCCTTCGAATGTTCTCGAACGAAGAGGGTTCGCAGATGTAGAATGATGAGTAGGCATCTCATGTCTTCTATCCTCCTCCCAAGATGAGAGAGTCATCCGACTGTGGAGACCTTCGTAAAGGTGTACGTTCGTCAACGTAGTCTTGAGACGTAGTTCTCTGAGGAGTAGGTTCGCGCAGGTCTGTAGGTTCGTACAGGTCCGTAGGTTTGCGCATGCTGTCGGTAGATGAGAGGCTTTGCCGAGCCTTCGCTTCTTCCTCGAACCTGCGTTCCATCATGGCCAGAGTTCTGCGTTGATTGAAGCTGCTGCGGTGTAGAAGAGGATGACGTCTTTTTCTACGTTGTAGCCGAGCTCTTCTTAGCCCCCATACCAGCAGACTGCCCCTGCAACGCACTAAACATAGCACAAGTATTATGAATTTCAGCAGTAGCAAGCAACATATGGTTTGAAGGCTGATCTCCTGTTTTATCAGCCGTGACTTGAGATGACTTCCTCACCCGATCCATGGCACGTCTATAGATATAAGACAAATATTGATTAAACTGAAGATTTGATAAATCAACACAACAAGTACAGCGCAAGCTGGAAGAACATGGTTTTATGCACGAGGGGCATTGGGGGTGAGGATCAGCCACGGACAACCTGTGCCTGCAAACACTGCAAGATTTCATGAAATGTAAACAAAGTTACATAACGATGAAATTATGACACAAATACGAATAATTTTTGCAAAGTTTTTACATATAATACAAAGTAGTTATTGCCAAATCCATACACAGCGTAATTTTGAAGAATAGGATCTAAATAAAAAGGATATAATGCCGTATGTGGGACTACAGTGGAGAGAGTGACAAGTAAGGCTGGTCACAATACTGTTTGGGCGGGAAAAGGGCAAAAGGGAAGTAACTCGTGGGTGAGTGTATTTTTACGTCCGCTTCAGGAACTTCAAGGGATTGAAGTGTTTCCACTAACATTCGAAAAGAAAAGGGAGATAAGCAAAAGATCATGAGTCAGGATAAGAAAAAATTGACATGTTTAATTATGTTTGAAAACTGCAAACAACAACTCTCTTATAATCTGGAAACATTAACACACTGAGTGGGCAGACTGACCTATGGAGTTGGTCGCCACACTCCTGGTATAAGCCAGTCTCTTTTCAAACCATGTGGCAGGATCTGAGAAGTGTTCCATGAAGAAGTGGCGGAACACTGGCTTGAACTTCTGACACACCTCCCTGTACGCCTTCAGCTTGTTCTGGACATCAGTCGGATCACGCACTCCCTACCCAAGGAAAGTTTATTTGCAATTTCTGATGAAAATCACTTTTCATATCCGTAAAAGCAAAAGACTCATTTTTGCATGTGTGTATGTATGTTACAAGCCAAAATTCATGTTCTAAATGGGGCCTTTATATGCGTCCTGTCTACTGACACGTTGTGATATCAGTTTGCTTAGTATTCAGAATAATCAGAACACTTGTAACTTTCTAACTTATTCTGTCAATTATTAAACTCCATATAGATGCAATAACTGAGAAAATGGTTCACAAAGTGACTAGACTCCAACCCTTGGGTACTTTTGACAAGATGGTTAACTGAGAGAACGTTGTTCAATCTTCGGTGAGGAGGTGAAATTGGGTTTAACTTCGTGCTTGAGAATATTTTGCTCATATGACGAAGTGCATGCGTGTGTATGTGTATGTGCGGCTGCTTGTACTAGACCAGACTTAAGCTGGTATCATAGTGCTATCCCACTGAGATACCATGCCACAGTGAAGAATGAATACCCCACTCAGACACATTACACTGACTCCGAGCCGACCAGTCCTTGTTGTACCCATTAATGCCGAGCACCAGACAGGGACCAACAAGCACCATATTTTAACGTCCATTGGTATGACGCGGTCTGGGATCGAACCCACGACCTTCCGCTCTCCGGGCGGACGCTCTAACCACTGCACCACGGAGGCGGTCCGTTCAATCTTAGAGTCAGCTATGGGAATGGATTTTCACAGATAACAGAGTAACACAGCCTGATTCTCATTTCAACAACTCAGACATGCTCAAGCACTGAAGATCTTTTCTGATTCAGAACAAACCAAGAACATTGTGACCATCTTACTGAGAAAACGTTTTGGCAGTAGCTAACTGTTACTGAGATCTACTCTATTATTGAATGGCTAGTTTGACCACCAAATATTCTGTGAGCTGTTATTTTTGTTTTAGACGGGATACTTGTAAACACTTCTTCTATGGAAGTAGGAGGACTATTTTCAGAACATCCAGTACGTCAAGTGAACGTCTATTTCTTGCAAAACCTGAATACTTCTTATTTGTCTTTAGCATTTACAGGGATTGAACAGATTGTTATTTTTTTGTCACAATGATACCAATTCCTTCCCCTAGTTTACCAAAGAGTCTGCACAGTGTAACAGTAATGACAGGTGACCATCTTACCTGGAGAAGTTTCCGGCAATCGAGGGCTGTGATGTCTTGGGGCCGGTACTTGGGGTGGGCCCCCTTGGATCCTGCTATGAGATAATCCCCAGGGGCTGGGTCCCCTCACACCACTCCAGCACCCCGCTCCTGGGACAGGGGCACTACCTGCAAAACACATGAGCTGTCTCAACCCGATGTGTCGAAGATCTCAAAAACATGAGCTGTCTCAACCTGATGTGTAGATGATCTCAAAAACATGACCTGTCTCAACCTGATGTGTAGAAGATCTCAAAAGCTGTCTCAACCCGATGTGTAGATGATGATCTCAAAAACATGAGCTGTCTCAACCTGATGTGTAGATGATCTCAAAAACATGACCTGTCTCAACCTGATGTGTAGATGATCTCAAAAACATGAGCTGTCTCAACCTGATGTGTAGATGATCTCAAAAACATGAGTCTCAACCTGATGTGTAGATGATCTCAAAACATGAGCTGTCTCAACCTGATGTGTAGATGATCTCAAAAACATGAGCTGTCTCAACCTGATGTGTAGATGATCTCAAAAACATGACCTGTCTCAACCTGATGTGTAGATGATCTCAAAAACATGACCTGTCTCAACCTGATGTGTAGATGATCTCAAAAACATGACCTGTCTCAACCTGATGTGTAGATGATCTCAAAAACATGACCTGTCTCAACCTGATGTGTAGATGATCTCAAAAACATGAGCTGTCTCAACCTGATGTGTAGATGATCTCAAAAACATGACCCTGTCTCAACCTGATGTGTAGATGATCTCAAAAACATGACCTGTCTCAACCTGATGTGTAGATGATCTCAAAAACATGACCTGTCTCAACCTGATGTGTAGATGATCTCAAAAACATGAGCTGTCTCAACCTGATGTGTAGATGATCTCAAAAGCTGTCTCAACCTGATGTGTAGATGATCTCAATGACCTGTCTCAACCTGATGTGTAGATGATCTCAAAAAACATGACTGTCTCAACCTGATGTGTAGATGATCTCAAAAACATGACCTGTCTCAACCTGATGTGTAGATGATCTCAAAAACATGAGCTGTCTCAACCTGATGTGTAGATGATCTCAAAAGCTGTCTCAACCTGATGTGTAAGATGATCTCAAAAACATGAGCTGTCTCAACCTGATGTGTAGATGATCTCAAAAACATGACCTGTCTCAACCCGATGTGTAGATGATCTCAAAAACATGACCTGTCTCAACCTGATGTGTAGATGATCTCAAAAACATGACCTGTCTCAACCTGATGTGTAGATGATCTCAAAAAACATGACCTGTCTCAACCCTGATGTGTAGAGATCTCAAAAACATCTCAAAAGATGATCTCAAAACATGAGCTGTCTCAACCTGATGTGTAGATGATCTCAAAAACATGAGCTGTCTCAACCTGATGTGTAGATGATCTCAAAAACATGACCTGTCTCAACCTGATGTGTAGATGATCTCAAAAACATGACCTGTCTCAACCTGATGTGTAGATGATCTCAAAAACATGAGCTGTCTCAACCTGATGTGTAGATGATCTCAAAAACATGAGCTGTCTCAACCTGATGTGTAGATGATCTCAAAAACATGACCTGTCTCAACCTGATGTGTAGATGATCTCAAAACATGACCTGTCTCAACCTGATGTGTAGATGATCTCAAAACATGACCTGTCTCAACCTGATGTGTAGATGATCTCAAAAACATGAGCTGTCTCAACCTGATGTGTAGATGATCTCAAAAGCTGTCTCAACCTGATGTGTAGATGATCTCAAAAACATGAGCTGTCTCAACCTGATGTGTAGATGATCTCAAAAACATGACCTGTCTCAACCTGATGTGTAGATGATCTCAAAAACATGACCTGTCTCAACCCTGATGTGTAGATGATCTCAAAAGCTGTCTCAACCTGATGTGTAGATGATCTCAAAAACATGACCTGTCTCAACCTGATGTGTAGATGATCTCAAAAACATGACCTGTGTGTAGATGAACCTGATGTCTCAACCTGATGTGTAGATGATCTCAAAAACATGAGCTGTCTCAACCTGATGTGTAGATGATCTCAAAAGCTGTCTCAACCTGATGTGTAGATGATCTCAAAAACATGAGCTGTCTCAACCTGATGTGTAGATGATCTCAAAAACATGACCTGTCTCAACCTGATGTGTAGATGATCTCAAAAACATGACCTGTCTCAACCTGATGTGTAGATGATCTCAAAATCATGATGTCTCAACCTGATGTGTAGATGATCTCAAAAACATGACCTGTCTCAACCCGATGTGTAGATGATCTCAAAAACATGACCTGTCTCAACCTGATGTGTAGATGATCTCAAAACATGACCTGTCTCAACCTGATGTGTAGATGATCTCAAAAACATGACCTGTCTCAACCTGATGTGTAGATGATCTCAAAAACATGAGCTGTCTCAACCTGATGTGTAGATGATCTCAAAAACATGACCTGTCTCAACCTGATGTGTAGATGATCTCAAAAACATGAGCTGTCTCAACCTGATGTGTAGATGATCTCAAAACATGACATGTCTCAACCTGTCTCAAAAGCAACCTGTCTCAACCTGATGTGTAGATGATCTCAAAACATGACCTGTCTCAACCTGATGTGTAGATGATCTCAAAAGCTGTCTCAACCCGATGTGTAGATGATCTCAAAAACATGAGCTGTCTCAACCTGATGTGTAGATGATCTCAAAAACATGACCTGTCTCAACCTGATGTGTAGATGATCTCAAAAACATGACCTGTCTCAACCTGATGTGTAGATGATCTCAAAAACATGACCTGTCTCAACCTGATGTGTAGATGATCTCAAAAACATGACCTGTCTCAACCTGATGTGTAGATGATCTCAAAAACATGACCTGTCTCAACCTGATGTGTAGATGATCTCAAAAACATGACCTGTCTCAACCTGATGTGTAGATGATCTCATAACATAGAAAACATCTAAACTCTCTGAAATGTGGAGCTGATTTAACGCAGAAACATCTAAACTCTCTGAAATGTGGAGCTGATTTAGCGCAGAAACATCTAAACTCTCTAAAACATGAAGCTCAGAAAATAACACAAAACAATTAAATGTAGCAACACTCTGTCAATGTGAAGCTGAAGATAACACACAAACATCTCCACTCTCTGTGAATAGGAAGCACAAAATCATGAAACGTCTCAACTTTGAAACTGAGAAAATATCATGGACAACAACTTCTTTAATATTTAAATAGTGTAGTTTTCGTATAGATAAGTGACATTTCCAAAAATATCACCAACACATTTATGAAAAAAATACAGTTTCTGTTTTTTAGCCAAACAATCGGCGGGTGAAGAACAAAATGGGTGTAAAAGGATAATGATGGAAGTATCTAGTTTTCCAGCTATATCACAATGGCCTTTAGCCATCAAATCTGGGCCTGGCAAGCCAGTAGTTAAATGACTTCAGGACATGAAAAATTACACACTCTAATTACTTACATATCCTGTATCTGACTCTCACCCAATACCCTACAGGCATCCATGTTGAAAGGTAGATAACCAGCATCAGTTTTTAATCAGTCGTTAACCTTCGACTTCTTTATTCCTGCATAAAGTCTGCACATTACACAGAAGAGGGGAGTAATATCTGTTGGGGTCTGGGGCCCCGTTCCACAAAGTGATCGTAGCACTAAGATGATCGTAACTCCATACTTTAACATAGACTTTCGACTGTGTCATAGCGCTATGATCGCTTTGAGGAACGAGGCTCAGGAGTTTACCTTGTACATCCTGATTCTGAGGCAACGCTTCTTGGTCTCGGGGTTCTTCTTGAGGAGGCTGTTGACCATCCCAAACACCTGCTGCATCACCGCATCCTGACGCAGGTCGTCCCGACCCTGGCAGACACACATTGTAACAACTAGAAAGTGTTTTTACTCGTAAAAACAGATGTCTCCCAATTCCCACAGTTCAACGTTGAGACATCAAAAGAAAAAAATAAGTGAAAAAAAAATTGAAAAAAAATTACAGAAAAGTTTAAATCCCCAAAAAGCACATCTACATGATATGGAGAGACAGTATAGCAAATTTGTTGAAGGTGGGTCAATGAGTTTCAGAATTATGCTCTGGAAACGAACTTTACCCTTCAAAAAGTCAAAGTCCAAATTGTTGCCATGAAAACAGAAAAAATAGAATTGAAAAAAACCCTCAAACCCCCCAAAAGGCACATCTACATGATATGGAGAGGCAGTATACCAAATTTGGTAAAGATTGTTCAAGTAGTTTTAGAGTTATGTTCTGGAAACTATGGGAACGCTGACAGAAACTCAACGAAAAACAATATGTCTCCCGACCCTTCTGGGGGGAGACATAATCACGATTCATATCAGACAAATAGTAACACCAATCAAATCGGCTGTAGTGCTCTAAGAACCCATGGTGCAGCAAGAATATTCTGTTGCACCCTCAAACAAACCAGTAGTTGATAGCCCGAGCAAAGAGTCCATATTTCATAGAAACACTGACACACAGTCAGTTCAAATTAAAAACAAGAAGACAAAGTCATCAATATCCCCCGCAATGGCAAAATACTCTTCATGATTATGTCTACGAGTTATGATTATGTCAAATATTTAGGTGTGTATATAGAAAAGTGGAAGGAGAGTATTAAAAAGAGCACTATCACCAATTTCAGTCTATGTCAAACTTGTTGCCATGGAAATGCCAAAAATATTTTATTCAGAATTCCAAAACTACCAAAAGGCACCAGTACACCACCAGATCTATCTATGTGCCAAGTTTGGTGAAGAAATAGTGAACGGTTTTAGAGTTCTGCTCCGGAATGAGCACTACCACTAATTTCAGTCTAAGTTAAACTTGTTGTCATGGAAACGCCAACAATATTTTATTCAGAATTCCAAAACTACCAAAAGGCACCAGTACACCACCAGACCAATCTATGTGCCAAGTTTGGTGAAGAAATTTTGAACAGTTTTAGAGTTCAGCTCCGAAAAGAGCACTGCCACCAATTTCAGGCTAAGTCAAACTTGTTGTCATGGAAACGCCAACAATATTTTATTCAGAATTCCAAAACTACCAAAAGGCACCAGTACACCACCAGATCTATCTATGTGCCAAGTTTGGTGAAGAAATAGTGAACGGTTTTAGAGTTCTGCTCCGGAAAAGACAAATGTGCATGGACGGACAAGCACGGACGCGACGACGCACGCGACGGACGGAGTCCATTTTAATACCCCCCGCAAAACGCGTTGCGAGGGGATAACAATAGGATCTATTCCATTAAGGAATCCAAATTTGAAGATTTGCATCAATATGAAGAAACACTATGTGAAAATACATCCCATCACATCATCAAATAGTGGTTCGTGGCAGTGTTCAAGTGGTATGATAATATCAATGTTCTTGTGATGAAATTTGGTAGGATGATGTACACATTTTAACAAAGAACTGTTTACGGGACCTTCTACAGCTGTTGAGTAACAATTTTCCATCACATTGTTTATCGTATCTTCCTGTCAATGTCTCCACCTACCTTGACAAGCTGACGTCTCTCTATGCCATCAGAGCCAATAACAGTGATGATCTTGGGCAGGTTAACCCCTCCAGCCAGGCGGAAGGTATTACCAAATCCTTCCACGCTGACAACATCTCGGTACTGCCCAGTCGGGTCAACCTGTCAAAGGCATATCAATTCAGGAGATAAACAGTGAATGTTTTCAAAGTTTTACTAATGTTATTTACAAACTGAGCGTGGCAATGGGGATTAATGTTGCATATGGCAGTGTTCCAGCAATATGGCAGCAACCTGTGAATTATCCAGGCTAGAGGTGACCAGTGGTGGATATTATGTGCCAGGGCCCAGATAAGCTGCGTGATCCGGGTAATATTTACAGCTAGAAATTTCCAAATACGCATTGAAAATAATTGTTGGCGTACCACCAAATATTTTAAAATGTTAGATACACAAAAGTTTAAAACAAACTTTAGCTATATTTATAAAACTAGCCACTGAATGAAAAACCATCGATTGCTATGAAGTTGTACTGTTAGCATAGGACAAGTGCTGTACTGTCCATTTAGGATGAGTGATTTTTATGAACTCATTTCCATTATATTTAAGTTGGTTTTGATTAGGTATGACATAGTCATAAGGCAGAACATACCATGTTTTAAACTTACTCAGTCACATAATACTTAGGTGGAGTAAAATGACTGAAATACGCATTATGTTTGAAAGCAGTGTAACGTGGGTAACCACGAAAATGAAATACCCACTCAACATTCATAATACCCACTCAAAAATACAGTGGGTACAGTGAGCTAAATCTTATCTGGAGCTCTGATGCAACCCATGTTGTCAAGGTGCGATCAGATCCAATGAACCAAGTCCACTGAACACGGTCACCAATCAATTTTAGCTGTTTTCTTACAAGAATTTCTTGCTGGGAACAAATTCTAACATTGTGTACCAGGTGAAACCTTTCAAAGAACAGTTCTTCCCTGGGACAAGATAGCCATGGCCAAGTCTTCCTCAAGGAGTGAGTGGGTGAGTTTAGCAATATTCCAGCAATATCATGGCAGGTGACACCAGAAATGGGTTTCACACATTGAAGCCATGTGTGAAATTGAACCCGGATCTTCGGCATGATGAGCGAACACTTTAACCACTAGGCTACCCTACGGCCCCCTTCTTCATGGACTGACTGAGTTTGCTTTTACGCCGCTTTTAGCAATATTCCAGCAATATCACGGCGGGGGACACCAGAAATGGGCTTCACTCATTGTACCCATGTGGGGATTCGAACCCGGGTCTTCGGCGTGACGAGCCAACGCTTTAACCACTAGACTACCCTCCTACCCCCTTCCACATTGAAATGACTGCTAATAGGGGATGTTAGATTCAAGACAAAGCATAAGGCCATGAAGAAAGAGAGTGGGGCTGTATGTATTGATGGGATGGTTTATGTTGGGCCAGATATTCAAATTTATTATTATAATTATAATAGTCCATTTTTATAGTGCCATGAATATCTTGCTCCAAGCGCTATTATTATGACTCCAAATAACCCAGCCTGCCTGTGAGGTGTTTGAAGGTTAAGAGTCACCCAATAGTACCAAATAGTCTGTAGTACCTATTTTCTGCTGGGCGAACAGAGACAATATTGTAACAAACTCACTTGTCTAGGGTGAGACAACATGTGCAAGTAAATAAAGGGAGAAAGTCAGCAAACATATTTTGATTTCCGGTGGCCTACAACTAGGGGGAAGAGCTATCAAATCACTTCAGAAGGTTGTGTGTAAATTAGGGTGTCTAAACAGAAGGAAAAAAAATATACATTCTACTCAAAATAAGGAATTTTGTTTTATACTGTTATTGTAAATATGGCATGCCCTGAAAGATTAACTATGAGAAGAATCAGATACTCTTCAGCTTATTGTGTTGCATAATTTGTTGTAATGAAGAGTGAATCCAAACGACCCTGACCCTGGCCTCCAGTGTAGGTACAGCAACATCCTTGAGACTCTTCATCTTTGACAACATCAGCGAGGCAGGTAGAGGTATGGGCTCTGAAAGAGAGAGAGACAATGTGTGAGCAGGTGAGCGAGGGAGTGACTGAGTGAGTGAGTGAGTGAGTGAGCAGGTGAGTGAGTGAGCGAGAGAGCGAGTGAGGGAGGAGGGAGGGAGGGAGCTGGGTTTGAGTAACCACTGAACATGATTTCAGCTACATCTTGCCATGTCAGCTTTGTCAGCAATGAAAGTCTGAAGGTTTAGGTACAAACATTTTCTCCATTTAGCAACAAATCAAAAGGTACAGATTCACTGAAAGAGAAAACAATAATCCTGCAATATAACTTTAGTATATAAACAATCCTGTCAAAACAGGGAAAACCAGTGGTTGACAGTATGAACACAATCCATAATGTCAGGGTAGAACTGACCCACAATTGGCTAGGTGACTATATGCAACCACGGTGATCTCTGGTGTGCTGTACCCATGAAGATCCGAGATAGAATTGGTCTTCAGCAACCCATGCTTGTCTCAAGAGGTGATTTAATAGGATCTGGTGGTCAGGCTCACTGACTTGGTTGACACATGTCATCAGTTCCCAATTGGGCAGATCGATGCGTCTACTGTTGATCAATGGATTGTCTGGTCCAGACTCGATTGTTTACACACCACTGCCCTAAAGCTGGAATATTGCTGAGTACCGTGTTAAACAAACTTACAAACAGTGGTGTGCTGTATTGATAAGTCTGGGACACTTGTCAGCAATCCATGCACTGAATGACAGAACTACTGAAGTAATAGATTCAGAACTAGCAAGCTTACTTTTCTCTGTCTTGTACCTATCGACGTTGGTGTTGGCCAGCTCGATGTAGGCTACAGACAGCACTTCCATGTGACGCACGATCGGTGACACTTTCCCGTTCTCCTTCAGGGTGTCTCCTTCAGGGTGTCAATCATGTTCTTGGCAGCCTGTACACGGTCCTGCAACACCAGTGGAATAACTGGCAATAACTGAACATAACACGATTCCAAAGCTCCTAGTCAATGTCAGGAATCAGATTGATCCCGGGGTACTTGAGGTTTCAGGCTGCAGGACTTACGTGAAAGACCTCCAAATCGATACTGTTTACTCCTGCAATGCTATCTGAAGGTGGCAAGAGTTAAAAAAATAACTTAGAACTATGTTAATTTCAATTCATATTGCCCTACAGTATACAGTGCTTCAGCCAGGATTTTTTTTAGTGTTGCCAATTGGCGCCTTAAGTACCAAAATATGTGCCAATGTAGTTGAGACTTTTGCCATTCATGGTAACCATGGTAAAGAAGACCTGTGGGTTATATTAAATGTTGCGCGAATGGGCTCTCTAGCATTGAAAAAAAAGGGCCATAGCATATTTTTTAGTGTGAATGGGCAATGGCACTTGCTTGGCTGAAGCACTGAGTATACAGGCCTACACTCGTATATCCCCTGACATTCCTGAAAAAAGGACCACATGATCCTACCTCCTCCAGCTGCTGTGCGTCGGACACGGTCCTGCTGAGCCTACCCGTCCTGCTTCGTGCTGCCCGAGCCTGTGTGACCAGCTCCATGTCCTTGTTGGCATGGGCAAGTGCCATGATGACAGGAACAGCATGGTGTGGGTGGTCCAAGGCAGCGGTCTCCAGAATCTACAACCCATAAGATACCGGTTAGAATTGGTCTTCAGTAACACATGCTTGTCGTAAGAGGCGACTAATGGGATTGGGTGGTCAAGCTCACTGACTTGCTTGACACATGTCATCATATCCCAGTTGTGCGCAGATCGATGCTCATGATGTTGATAACTGGACTGTCTGGTCCAGACTCAATTAAACAGACTGTCGCCATATGGCTGGAATATTGCTGAGTGCACCGTTAAACAAACCACAAACACAACCAGAATCTACACAGTACCACTTACTACATGTCATGTTCCAAACACAACCAGAATCTACACAGTACCACTTACTACATGTCATGTTCCAAACACAACCAGAATCTACACAGTACCACTTACTACATGTCATGTTCCAAACACAACCAGAATCTACACAGTACCACTTACTACATGTTCCAAACACAACCACAATCTACACAGTACCACTTACTACATGTCATGTTCCAAACACAACCACAATCTACACAGTACCACTTACTACATGTCATGTTCCAAACACAACCACAATCTACACAGTACCACTTACTACATGTCATGTTCCAAACACAACCACAATCTACACAGTACCACTTACTACATGCCATGTTCCAAACACAACCAGAATCTACACTACACAGTACCACTTACTACATGTCATGTTCCAAACACAACCAGAATCTACACAGTACCACTTACTACATGTCATGTTCCAAACACAACCAGAATCTACACAGTACCACTTACCCGGTACTACATGTCATGTTCCAAACACAACCAGAATCTACACAGTACCACTTACTACATGCCATGTTCCAAACACAACCAGAATCTACACAGTACCACTTACTACATGCCATGTTCCAAACACAACCAGAATCTACACAGTACCACTTACTACATGCCATTCAGAAACATCAGACCGCCTCGGTGGTGTAGTGGTTAGAGCGTCCGCCCGGAGAGCGGAAGGTCGCAGGTTCGATCACAGGCCGCGTCATACCAAAGGACGTTAAAATATGGTACTTGTTGGTCCCTGCCTGGCGCTCGGCATTAATGGGTACAACAAGGACTGGTCGGCTCGGAGTCAGTATAATGTATCTGAGTGGGGTATTCATGCTTCACTGCAGCATGGTATCTCAGTGGGCTAGCACTATAAAACCAGCTTAAGTCTGGGCTAGTACAAGCAGCCGCACATACACATACACACGCATGCACGTCGTCATATGAGCGAAATATTCTCAAGCACGACGTTAAACCCACTTTCACCTCACCTCACCTCAGAAGCATCAGCACACAGATATTGACAGCCGAGCAATGATCCATACAAAGCCAACATTTTTCATGAACAAAACCAAATTTACAGACTTAATTACACCATGACCATTTGCCAGAGCAATGAAAGCACACGCGTACAAACATATCACCCAAAGCTGAAACAGAATTCTGTCATCTTTCAAGACTTTGGTACAACAACACTTCCTCATTGCCCCAAAAACCCAACAATTTCTCATTGCCAAAATACCATGGAATGTAATCTGCAATTTTGGTTGATATAGTATTTCATGGTATACAAGTAGACACGACAGAAACTGTCACCTTGGCAAGTGTTGGCTGGAAGAGGGAACAGTGAGTCTCCTTTACACTCATCCTTGCCGCCAGCTGGTACATCATGGGCAGAAACTTGTACGACTTGATGGCGTCGATGTTGCTCTGAAAACAAGAATCATGAAAGAGTGATTGTCATGGATAACTGACTGCAGAAGTGTCAAGAGCAGAAGCAATGGTCTGAACTTGAACAACCTGCATGGCATTGATGTAGCTTTGAAAACAAGAATCATGAGAAAATGATGGTGATACTGACTGAAGAAGAAGAAAAATGCACAACGTTGCCCTAAAACATGTTTATCATGACATTGTGATTGTCCTATGCACCACTGACTACAAGGCAGAGGCAGTGGAACGAACAACCAGCTTGAACAACTTGATATCATCAACGTCATTCTGGAAACACAAACTTCAGACAATTAGCCAGGTCACAAACTATAATGACCTGATGACCTGAGGCATTTATGACAAGCATGGGGACAAACCAAAAGGCATACTGGAAATTACGTCATAACAACACCAGATATATACACAAAAAACAAGATGCTCAGATAACAAAGATGTTCTATGATGTACAGTAGCTACTCACATTAAGAAGCTGGTTAACCTCCTCCGAGGCAGCGTTGTCGAACCACAGCGAGGTGAGTCGATATGTTCTCAGGTCATGCTTGTCTCCAGCCCTGAGACACTTGATGTAGCTCTCCACGGCCTTCAGGAGAAACTTGTGTCTGTCCTGCTCCAGAGCCACTACCTCACGCTCATCTATCTCCCCCTGCTTGTCTAGGGAACGCAGGTAACGACTGAAGCAAAATACAGGTAAACATCATTATTACCCAGAAGGCTATTCAAATTTAGATGCATGGGCACTGCAAGAGTTCTTCTAGCCCACTACTGACATTATGAAGATGGAGTTGAGGTGATATAGGGCACTGCAAGAGATCTTCTAGCCCACTACTGACATTATGAAGATGGAGTTGAGGTGATATAGGGCACTGCAAGAGTTCTTCTAGCCCACTACTGACATTATGAAGATGGAGTTGAGGGGATATAGGGCACTGCAGCTTACCCAGAGGGCTATTCAAATTTAGATGCATGGGCACTGCCCGTCCGGCGAGCTCTCCAGCAGCTCCACAGTCTGCAGCAAGAACAATGGTTAGTACAGTAAACAACAGTGGGTGAGTTGGGGTTCCTGCCACCCAGAACCTTATTCAAGTGTTACTACAGTATATCAGCTTTATGTGGAAGGAAAGTGAGTGAGTTTAGTTTTACGCCGCATTCAGCAATATTCCAGCTATATGGCATCGGTCTGTAAATAATTGGGGACTGGGGGATAGTCTGGTGGTTAAAGCGTTCGCTCGTCACACTGAAGACCCGGGTTCAATTCCCCACACAGGTACAGTGTGTGAAGCCCATTTCTGGTGTCCCCCGCCGTGATGTTGCTGGAATATTGCTAAAAGCAGCGTAAAACTAAACTCACTCACTCACTGTAAATAATTGAGTCTGGGCCAGACAATACAGTGATCAACAGCATGAGCATCGATCTAAGCAATTGGAATATGATGACATGTGTCAACCAAGTCAGCGAGCCTGACCACCCGATCCTGTTAGTCACCTCTTACGACAAGCCTGGGTTACTGAAGACCAATTCTAACCCGGATCTTCACAGGTCAGAAGGAAAGCCCAAAATGATGCAGGTCTTAGAATTCTACCACTGTGGTGAAGCCCACAACCAATGGCATGGTGCTGGCAAATCCAAGGAACATAAGCCAGGATTCAAACCCACAATCACAGGTTTCTGTAGTGCCCAAGGGGCCAACTCTAACGGCTAATGGTAACACCATAGATGACTGAGCCACCAGGGGCCACCATTAGATAACAGCTGAGTGAGATGAACATTAAAATGGGTTAATTTAGACAATCTTTAGACATCACAATGTTCAAGCTTAAGGTGAAAACATATGAAAACCAACAATTTTAAAAATCAGAATACATCTATCATGTTAAAATGTAACATTCAAGAAAGTGATGACGGCAAACAACCTGATTAAAGTTTGTGACATCTTACAACAATTCTGGCTCGACTTTTTGGTGTGTTTTACAAACTGTTGACCCCAAACTGACGTCAGTAGGTCCAACTTTTGAGAGGTAGCACATTCATACACACTTTTACAAAAGGTTGGCCTGTTAACACAAAGGGTGGAGAGACCTTCCAGCCTGAGGAGTCTGACGTACCTTCTCCAGGTAGTGCTCCAGGATGGCACTGGGGTTCTCGGTGCGGGTCTCCGCCAGCCAGTTGCCATACGTGCCCAGGGCTTGAGGAAGCAATTTCACTGCTTCAAAACACTCATCTTGAATCTAAAAACAAGGAGAACACTGTAATCAGCAAAACATCCACAGTTTAGTTCAGTCTGATTCACAACTTAAAAACTGAAAGAACCTGACATAAAGATTTGGATTCATTAGAATCTTCCAACCACATTTCAAAGTCCAAGTCTCTTAAGAATTAACAAAGTGTAAGTAAAGGACATATTACGACCCAAAATTAGGGAACTAATGATATTTATTACCTACGAGGGCGAACATATCCGGGTTCATATTTTTCATACGATGCCCTTTGTCATGGTGACGTGACGTCATGAACAATGCTTCTGTGACATTAGTTCTACATGCAGTGATGGCGGGTAGCCAGCCTATGTTTGGAAGTAGATTTTGGTATATTCTCCTCATTTGGACGACTTTGGTAATAAACATAATATTATGTTCGTGCCCATTTCATACTATGTTTACGACACTCATGCCTAAATATCGGTATATCCCTCGCTCTCACTGGGGAAATATCAACATTTAGGCACTTGTGTCGTATACTATGACATGGGCACTCATATAATATCCTCTATGAATGGAGCTATATATTGCTGATGTATACCTTGGCAATACCATGGAACTGCATCGGAACATACATCATAAAGTACCTGTGATGCGTGCACACCAACAGCCAAAGAGTGTGCCAACAGGGGAACTCACTGTCACTTATGCAACAAAGCTTAAGAATGGCTCCCAGACAGTATCTCAACAAAACAGTGACCTGTGGGTATGATGGCAAGATGGCATGGGCAGGGGAGAAGTCAATATCAAAATTCGCTAAAATTACCATCAGAAATCTTGAACTAAAAGATGACAAAATCATATCCTGCCCAGATCATCGCTGATTATCTCATAATCAGATGCCATATGGACATGGGGCAATACCCTCAACCCTGCAGCACCCTTTTCAAATAGTGACTGAGATCCTGTTCTAACCTTCTTCAGGTTTCCAATGAGACTTTTCATCAGGTGTTTGGCAATGTTCTGCTCATCCCTGGCCCAGTATAGCTTGGCCTCCTCGATCTCCAGCTGCAGCTTGAATCCCTTCTCTTTGTTCTCCTGTTGCCGCAACTCCGCAATGATTCTCTCTGCAACCTGAAGACACATTTCTCTTTAAATAATGACATAATAACTCAACATAAGGGACCGTTCATAATTTATGGCTAGGAGGGTGATGATGATTTTAAGGGGGGGTCACCCATTTTGTTCTGGGGAGGTGGGGGTCATCAATTTTGTACACGTTTCTAGGGGGTCAGCAATTTTGTACATAAAAATATTTTAAAATTATGCTTTAAAAATATGGAAAGGGGAGGGGGTCATTGACTTTGTAGATGACATGGGGGGGACTTACCTTGTACATAAATGTTGGGGGTCATTCACATTGAACTTGCTTCTCCATAAAAATCATCATCACCCCCCCCTTGCAAGTAATTTTGTACACAAAAATTAAAAGAAATTGTGCTTAAAAAATATGTGAAGGGAGGGAGGCATTGGTTTTGTACTTGACATGCAGGGTGGGTCACTCACATTGTACATGCTTCTCCATAAAAATCATCACCCACCCCCAGCCATAAATTATGAACGGTCCCTAAATAGAAAAGACACAATCACTGCAATGAAGAAAATTTGTGAACCTCAGACCTAAGCTGTGATGATCTGCTGAGCATACACGCTGAGACACAATTCCGACACACTCACTCAATCTACACCAGCTTTAGCTCACCTAGTATAGGTGCCCACGTCCCTCTGATGTAGCAATCTCCAACTACACCTGCCTTAGCTCACCTAGTATAGGTGCTCACGTCCCTCTGATGTAGCAATCTCCAACTACACCTGCCTTAGCTCACCTAGCATAGGTGCTCACGTCCCTCTGATGTAGCAATCTCCAACTACACCTGCCTTAGCTCACCTAGCATAGGTGCTCACGTCCCTCTGATGTAGCAATCTCCAACTACACCTGCCTTAGCTCACCTAGTATAGGTGCTCACGTCCCTCTGATGTAGCAATCTCCAACTACACCTGCCTTAGCTCACCCCAGCATAGGTGCTCGCACAGCGTCCCTCTGATGTAGCAATCTCCAACTACACCTGCCTTAGCTCACCTAGCATAGGTGCTCACGTCCCTCTGATGTAGCAATCTCCAACTACACCTGCCTTAGCTCACCTAGTATAGGTGCTCACGTCCCTCTGATGTAGCAATCTCCAACTACACCTGCCTTAGCTCACCTAGCATAGGTGCTCACGTCCCTCTGATGTAGCAATCTCCAACTACACCTGCCTTAGCTCACCTGATATCGCCCCTCCCTCCTGGCAACTTTGGCCATGTTCTCCAGCTGCCGACACAGGACCCCAGACACAGACACTCCATCTTCTTCTGTCTCCGGGTATTTCTGGGCCAGGATTTTAAGAGCAGCACACTTCACATCCCACACTGGCTGCAGAAACTCGAACTCATTAACTGGTTCTCGTTCCTCTGTCAGTCTCTCCAGGAGGTTTCTCAGTCCATCAGACTCAGGGCTACAAGAAAATAGGAAGCAAAGATTTACTCAATGTTGCATGATGAGCTTATCTCAGGGTTTCCACGTTTCAGGCAAAAGTCAACAGTTTTGTTATACATGAAAGTGACCTATTTCGTTAAGTTTGGTCTAGAATGGTTGGGGTGGTGCCTTTGAGTTCACTGGTCATGCTGAGCCCTGAGTTTGTGTACAATGTGTGAATCATGATATGGTGGCATAACATCATACTCACTCACTCTAGAATTTAGTGTTAGTTTTATGCTGCACTCAGCAATATTCCAGCTATATGGCTGCGGTCTGTAAATAATCGAGTCTGGACCAGACAATCCAGAGATCAACAGCATGAGCATCAATGACATGTGTCAGCCAAGCCAGCGAGCCTGACCACCCGATCCCTTTAGTCGCCTCTTACGACAAGCATGGGTTACTGAAGGTTCATTCTAACCCGGATGGGTGGGTGAATGAGAGAGATTGAATCTTGTTGGGTGTCACAACTGGATAGACGTACCTGGCAACGGCATCGACAATCTGCTGGAGATGGAACAGGCTGTGGAGCCTGCTGAGGACTGGATACACGCTGCGGCAACTCTCCAGGTGTGTGTCGATAACTTGAAGGGTGCTTTGCCTGTCACAGAAAAATGTCAGGAGCTTTTGAAAACTACGACTCTTGTTTTAATGCTACATATTAGCATGAGCTACTTACACATCCAGAACAAGATGGCAATATGTCTCCTGTTACCCACCTTGCACTATCTATAGAGGCCTGAGCCAGTTTCAGCTGATCATCCTTAAGAGCATCCATGGCACAGTAGAGTTTCTGATGGAACCCAGCTTCAGCACCAACCCTGGAGTTAAACACATGGACAGACTTGACACATCACTGTGTTCAACATGACATGGTTACATCCTTAACAAATACCAAGAGAAAGGTGTCAGGAACACCTGGAGTTAAACACATGGACAGACTTGACACATCACTGTGTTCAACATGACATGCTTACATCCTTAACAAATACCAAGAGAAAGGTGTCAGGAACACCTGGAGTTAAACACATGGACAGACTTGACACATCACTGTGTTCAACATGACATGGTTACATCCTTAACAAATACCAAGAGAAAGGTCTCAGGAACACCTGGAGTCAAACACATGGACAGACTTGACACATCACTGTGTTCAACATGACATGGTTACATCCTTAACAAATACCAAGAGAAAGGTCTCAGGAACACCTGGAGTTAAACACATGGACAGACTTGACACATCACTGTGTTCAACATGACATGGTTACATCCTTAACAAATACCAAGAGAAAGGTCTCAGGAACACCTGGAGTCAAACACATGGACAGACTTGACATGTCACTGTGTTCAACATGACATGGTTACATCCTTAACAAATACCAAGAAACAGGTCTCAGGAACACCTGGAGTCAAACACATGGACAGACTTGTCACATCACTGTGTTCAACATGACATGGTTAGATCCTTAACAACAAAAAGGTGAAATTGGGTTTAACGTCATGCTTGAGAATATTTCGCTCATATAACGACGTGCATGCGTGTGTATGTGTATGTGCGGCTGCTTGTACTAGCCCAGACTGAAGCTGTTTTTATAGTGCTAGCCCACTGAGATACCATACCGCAGTAAAGCATGAATACCCCACTCAGACACATTATACTGACTCCGAGCCGACCAGTCCTTGTTGTTCCCATTAATGCCGAGCGCCAGGCAGGGACCAACAAGTACCATATTTTAACGTCTTTTGGTATGACGCGGTCAGGGATAAAAGGTCCAGGACGACCTGAAGACAACTATACATGTACAGTCTATGTTTAACAAGGTCGGTGGGACTCTCAGTAACTGTATACCTCACTGAAATTACTCTACACCATATCTGCACAAAGAAAGGATAACAGCAAAAATGTATAAGAAGATAAAAGTTTCAAGAAGAACTGGACGCTAGAATCTACTGCCACACCAACACTGGAGAAACATACCTGGCAGGTACATCAAGGTTCCACTGGCCTGCCCTCCACGCCGCCTCGTACTGCACCTCCTGCAGGGCAGGGGACAGCCCCATCTGCCCCACTTTCCCCCTCAGACACAGCTCCAGCAGGTAGTCTGCGCCGAAAGTCTGTACGGTCTGGAAACAGAGGGAGGGATGTGTCATATCACTGTGGCTTTAAAGTAACTGTGTCTGGCAAGGACAACTTGTTGTCGACTCCATCATCACGGACAATATGAGTAGTTTATTGCTGCTTTCAGTGATATTCCAGCTATATCACTGCAGGGGGCACCAGAAATGGGCTTCACACATTGTACCCATGTGGGGAATCAAAACTCAGGTCTTCGTGATGAACCACTAGGCCACCCCACACCCCCAACAATGTTGAACACCTATAAGGAATGATGACATATATACACCAGGCACCCATTGTAACCATCCGGTTCTCATCAGACTGCTCATGATCGGATACTGGAGACTGCCACAAAAATTACCTTAGAATCATCAAGATGACCAGTGCTTCCACACTTTCAATATTAGCACAGGAGTGTTGTAGTGCTGATATCATCTGGCACACCCATACAACCCCGGCCACAATATTAGCACAGGAGTGTTGTAGTGCTGATATCATCTGGCACACCCATACAACCCCGGCCACAATATTAGCACAGGAGTGTTGTAGTGCTGATATCATCTGGCACACCCATACAACCCGGCCACAATATTAGCACAGGAGTGTTGTAGTGCTGATATCATCTGGCACACCCATACACCCCGCCACAATATTAGCACAGGAGTGTTGTAGTGCTGATATCATCTGGCACACCCATACACCCCCGGCCACAATATTAGCACAGGAGTGTTGTAGTGCTGATATCATCTGGCACACCCATACAACCCCGGCCACAATATTAGCACAGGAGAGTTGTAGTGCTGATATCATCTGGCACACCCATACAACCCCGGCCACAATATTAGCACAGGAGTGTTGTAGTGCTGATATCATCTGGCACACCCATACACCCCCGGCCACAATATTAGCACAGGAGTGTTGTAGTGCTGATATCATCTGGCACACCCATACACCCCCGGCCACAATATTAGCACAGGAGTGTTGTAGCGCTGATATCATCTGGCACACCCATGCACCCCCGGCCACAATATTAGCACAGGAGTGTTGTAGTGCTGATATCATCTGGCACACCCATACACCCCGGCCACAATATTAGCACAGGAGTGTTGTAGCGCTGATATCATCTGGCACACCCATGCACCCCCGGCCACACGTGGTGACTGAGAAAGCTTTAATCCATCTTGAGTTATTACCGATTCCATTATTTCATTAACAAAATTAACCAAGACTGAAGTAAGGTGGCTCTTCTGATCCACAGGACAATCTGTTCCTCACACGTACAGACATATTGCCAGGTTTCAAGACTGGGTGCAGGATTCTCTCACCTTTAAGAGGCCCATGTCCTCTGCTGGTTGTCCCATCTTCATTCCAATGTCAAAGGTAACCACTGCTTTCTCAAGCCTGTTCTCATGAAGGTAAGTTTTAATCCTAGAAACAGAAAACATAATGTCAGACAGACTTCTTTTTCCGGTGATGTACACTCATTCAGTTCCCTGCACCCCTCACCTAGATGTAGAGTCTGTCAGAGTCTGTCAGACTCTCCTAGTTGGAGCTCCACACCCATACACCCCCACAGTCAGGGTCCCTGGCACAGCCCTCGCCTAGTTGGAGAGTCCTCCAGTCTCCCAGCTCCACACCCATGCTCAGGGTCCCCACAGCCCTCACCTAGTTGGAGAGTCATCCAGTCTTCCAGTTCCACACCCTGTCAGGGTCCCCACAGCCCCTCAGCCTCTTGTTGGAGAGTCATCCAGTCTCCCAGCTCCACACCCTGTCAGGGTCCCCACAGCCCTGCAGCCTTGTTGGAGAGTTCTAGATGTAGAGTCATCCAGTCTCCCCAGCTCCACACCCCTGTCAAGGTCTCCCCCACAGCCCTCGGGCCAGGGATGTAGAGTCATCCAGTCTCCCAGCTCCACACCCTGTCAGGGTTCCCCACAGCCCTCGGGCCCCAGTTGGGAGAGTCCGGGCCAGTCTCCCAGCTCCACACCCTGTCAGGGTCCCTCTATAGCCATCTCTCTAGTTGGAGAGTCCTGCCAGTCCTCCCTGTCTCCCAAACCCATACACTCCCAACAAAGTTCCCTTTACAGTCCCACCCACCCCTCACCTAGATGTAGAGTCATCCAGTCTCCCAGCTCCACACACCCTGTCAAGGTTCCCCACAGCCCTCGCCTAGTTGGAGAGTCTGCCAGTCTCCTGTCTCCCAACCCATACACCCCAAACAAAGTTCCCCACAGTCCCACACCCTCACCTAGATGTAGAGTCATCCAGTCTCCCAGCTCCACACCCTGTCAGGGTCCCCCACAGCCCTCGCCCTAGTTGGAGAGTCCGGCCAGTCTCCCCTGTCTCCCCCACCCATATACCCCAACAACAGTGTCTTGTCATCCCAGCTCCACACCCCTGTCATCCCCACAGCCCTCGCCTTAGTTGGAGAGTCCTGGCCAGTTCCCCACAGCCCCACAGTCCCACACTCACCTAGATGTAGAGTCTGCCAGTCTCCCAGCTCCACAGTCAAGGTTCATACACCCCATCTGGGTCTCCAGTCTCCCAACACTCTGGGTCTCCACGCTCTGCACGCCTCCAGCAACAACTCTTGGACATTCAGCTGGGTACTGGAGGAAGTGATGCTACTCAGTGTGTCGAGACGCTGGTCCTGGCTCACTCGCTGAGACAAACGTTGAGAACCGGGCCCTGATGATGAATCCTTGTCAACCTCACTGAAAGACAAGCATATGGCGATACTACAGATACCTTGACATGACAGACAAAACCAGCGCAAGGACAGTCAAACACTGGTGTGTCAACCTTTGGTTGTGTCAAATTTTGGATAACTCGAACTATTTAGAGAGTCCCTTCAACTACGACACAAGAGTGTTTGCCTTTATTCAAAATATCCCTAAAAATTACCTATAATAACTGAATATTCTCTGAAGAAGTTTCCATTTGTATGTTTGCTGCTTGAAGACACAGTCAGGACAAATCCAGATATTGTTGCCTGTAAATAATTCTGACTGGCCTGACAAAACACTGGTGATGTAGTGATGAACATTCACTGCTGTTATTGTTGGGTTCCTTGAAGTCTCCAAACCTTATTAAAAACGGATTTCAGTCTGCTCTCACCATGAAAACAACCAACACATGCAGTTGCGGATCTGCACAAATCAAGGTTCCTCACCTGCACGAGTCAGACCATATTTCTGCATACAGAATGGCAGTGAAGGGTGCGGAGCAAAACAGGGCGGCCTTGGCCACCTCCAGGTAGTTCAGCTGCAGCCAGAAGTTGTCATCCCAGGGGGTCAACACCTTCCTCCTGTCACACAAACTCTGTCTACTTCATGGCAACAAGTTGTCATCTCGAACAAACATCTGTCTACATAGTGGCAACAAGTTGTCATCTCGAACAAACATCTGTCTACATCGTGGCAACAAGTTGTCATCTCACACAAACATCTGTCTACATCGTGGCAACAAGTTGTCATCTCACACAAACATCTGTCTACATAGAGGCAACAAGTTGTCATCTCACACAAACATCTGTCTACATCATGGCAATAAGTTGTCATCTCACACAAACATCTGTCTACATCATGGCAATAAGTTGTCATCTCACACAAACATCTGTCTACATCGTGGCAACAAGTTGTCATCTCTCACAAGCATCTGTCTACATAGAGGCAACAAGTTGTCATCTCACACAAACATCTGTCTACATCGTGGCAACAAGTTGTCATCTCGAACAAACTCTGTCTACATAGTGGCAACAAGTTGTCATCTCACACAAACATCTGTCCACATCGTGGCAACAAGCTGTCATCTCGAACAAACTCTGTCTACTTCATGGCAACAAGTTGTCATCTCACACAAACATCTGTCTACATCATGGCAATAAGTTGTCATCTCACACAAACATCTGTCTACATTATGGCAATAAGTTGTCATCTCTCACAAACATCTGTCTACATAGAGGCAACAAGTTGTCATCTCTCACAAACATCTGTCTACATCGTGGCAACAAGTTGTCATCTCACACAAACATCATCTCCTGAAACATGTCTACATAGAGGCAACAAGTTGTCATCTCACACAAACATCTGTCTACATCGTGGCAACAAGTTGTCATCTCGAACAAACTCTGTCTACATAGTGGCAACAAGTTGTCATCTCACACAAACATCTGTCCACATCGTGGCAACAAGCTGTCATCTCGAACAAACTCTGTCTACTTCATGGCAACAAGTTGTCATCTCACACAAACATCTGTCTACATCATGGCAATAAGTTGTCATCTCACACAAACATCTGTCTACATCGTGGCAATAAGTTGTCATCTCACACAAACATCTGTCTACATCATGGCAATAAGTTGTCATCTCGAACAAACATCTGTCTACATAGTGGCAACAAGTTGTCATCTCACACAAACATCTGTCCACATCATGGCAACAAGTTGTCATCTCGAACAAACTCTGTCTACTTCATGGCAACAAGTTGTCATCTCGAACAAACTCTGTCTACTTCATGGCAACAAGTTGTCATCTCGAACAAACTCTGTCTACACCATGGCAACAAGTTGTCATCTCGAACAAACATCTGTCTACATAGAGGCAACAAGTTGTCATCTAGCACAAACTCTGTCTACATCGTGGCAACAAGTTGTCATCTCGAACAAACATCTGTCTACATAGTGGCAACAAGTTGTCATCTCACACAAACATCTGTCTAGATCATGGCAACAAGTTGTCATCTCGAACAAACTCTGTCTACTTCATGGCAACAAGTTGTCATCTCGAACAAACTCTGTCTACATCATGGCAACAAGTTGTCATCTCGAACAAACATCTGTCTACATAGAGGCAACAAGTTGTCATCTCACACAAACATCTGTCCACATCGTGGCAACAAGTTGTTACTTTACACAAACATCTGTCTACATCGTGGCAACAAGTTGTCATCTCACACAAACATCTGTCTACATCATGGCAATAAGTTGTCATCTCACACAAACATCTGTCCACATCGTGGCAATAAGTTGTCATCTCACACAAACATCTGTCTACATCGTGGCAACAAGTTGTTACTTTACACAAACATCTGTCTACATCGTGGCAACAAGTTGTTACTTTACACAGACATCTGTCTACATCGTGGCAACAAGTTGTCATCTCACACAAACATCTGTCTACATCGTGGCAATAAGTTGTCATCTCACACAAACATCTGTCTACATCGTGGCAACAAGTTGTTACTTTACACAAACATCTGTCTACATCATGGCAACAATTTGTCATCTCACAGAAACATCTGTCTACATTGTGGCAATAAGTTGTCATCTCACACAAACATCTGTCTACATCGTGGCAACAAGTTGTCATCTCACACAAACATCTGTCTACATCGTGGCAACAAGTTGTCATCTAGCACAAACATCTGACTACATTATGGCAACAAGTTGTCATCTCACACAAACATTTGTCTACATCATGGCAACAAGTTGTCATCTCACACAAACATCTGTCTACATCGTGGCAACAAGCTGTCATCACACACAAACATCTGTCTACACCATGGCAACAAGTTGTCATCTCACACAAACATCTGTCTACACTGTGGCAACAAGTTGTCATCACACACAAACATCTGTCTAAATAGTGGCAACAAGTTGTCATCTCACACAAACATCTGTCTACATCTTGGCAACAAATGATCATGCTCAAGTTGACAGTTTCAAATGGATCCAATTTTGCATTCACTTGTAACACAACACTCAGACACTGAGACGTCAATGAGTATAAGCTATATCGTCTCACCCTCGCCTTGGTCTTTTCTGCTGGCGAAGATACTGTACAACGTGAAGCATTGTCTGCACCGACTCCTTGTTACAGCACACACTCACTGAAGAATGATACATCAAGGCACTGCATAAGTCATTCTGGTATAATACTGGCCCTTCTATAAAAATCATAAAATAATAATAATGGCTATTTACAAAGTGCCTGTTTCCACACATTTGTGCATGCTCAAAGTGCTAAGACATTGTTACCCCAGATAACCCAAGCTGCCTGTGAGGCGCTAGACGCTTAACAGTTAACATTTATACCACCGGGTACCCATTCATGCTGGGTGGCAATTCATGAAGAAACTCACTTGCCTAAGGTGAGACCACATGTGTCATATGTGCTTTATTGTTGAGCAGGGTTAAAGTCTCAGATACTCTCAGGAGTTAAGCTGCCAAACACGATCACCCGTCCAAGGACTGTCCGTGACCAACGTTGCTTAACTTCAACTGATTTGTGACCTGGGCTTTATGCCCAAGACCAATACACCACCCTTTATAACACCCTTTTTCTTGGTGTATCAAATGCCATGGAACCACTTGAATTCATTTATACGCAGGAAATGTATTTTTTTTAGTAAAATTGATATTTTATACTTATCCTGACACATGATCTTTTGCTTATCTCCCTCTTCTATGTGAATGGTAGTGGAACACTTGAATCCCTTGAAGTTCCCTAAAGCGGACGTAAAAGTACACTCACCCACGAGTTACCTCCCTTTTCCCGCGCAAACAGTCATGTGACCAGCCTTACTTGTCACTCTCTCCTGATTTTTGTGCCCATGCACTTGGATCTACTGTGAAATCCGAAGTGTTTCCAGCGGGGAGGTTGGGAGGGCTTATCCTCATGAGTCAGGATAAGTATAAAATATCAATTTTACTCAAAAGATTACATATTTGTCCTTATCCTGACTCATGATCTTTTGCTTATAGAATCCGACCGATTGATTGTGGGTCAAGCCACTGGATTCATCAGCTGTCCTTAGATACGTCCTGTATCCCCTCCATGGGAACTGCAAAACGGCATTTCCGTGATCCTATTCTTCCAACTTCCGTTATAACTCGGGGGGACCACTTTCTTGTCTTACTTCACTCTAAGACAAGTTGAATCATGTTGATTTATGTGGCTTTAAGATATACTTGTACCTCATTTTACTAGTTATCTATAACAACCCATAGATTATGATAAGATCTTTATCATAAATGAGTTGCGACCCCTTAACGTACAGGTAAGATCTTTACCCGTACAGAGTCTTAATCACTCATGCTAGCCTAGTCTAGACTGTGCGCATGGACTTTCAAACTAATACTTTTCCTTAGTAAAAGTTATCAACAAGTCAACGTGATAAAGGGTGAGATTTCCAACTCAGCGCCTTTGTGGAACCGTTAGTTGTTGTGCTACAACAAGAGGCCCAAACTGGTGAATGCCTGAGACGTCTTCGGTGGCTATGTCTTGGAGGTAGTGGTTGGCAAACACTGTGTCCAACTTCCAAAATTGATGATATAGAGCAATTTCCATGTAGAGCTAGTGTTGATGCCAGTGCTCTGACTTCATGTGGGTTAGAAGCTCTAGGAGGTTCTAGTCCTGCTGCTTTGTAGGCTCTCAATATAACGGTTCTCATCCAGAACGATATTGTCGTTCTTGGTACTTCCACTGTTGTCTCTGTAGACAAGGGGATGAACAGGCGCTTGAATTTCCTTCTCCTTGTTTTAGTCTTTTGAAGATATATCTTCAAGGCTCTGACAGGACACAAGGATAAGTCTTGAGTATCCTCTGGTCCGAGGACAGTAGATAGCGCTGGTCTATGGAACTGTCTATCTGGTTGACCAGGTAGTTGATTCTTGGCAATGAAGTCCCATCTAAGTCCTAGATGTACTGCAGCACGGTGCCCCGTGTCAAATCTAGTTCGTCCAAAGTCCAACGCATGTATCTCAGACATTCGAGCTGCCGTGGCTAGGGCAAGTAGAAACAGAGTCTTCTGTGTCAGCAGCTCGAGGGTAGTCTGGTCTAGAGGTTCGTAGGCATCACTTGTAAGATGACGTAGAATAACATTCAGATCCCAGGCTGGCGCTCTGAATTTCTTTTGCTGGTCCTCCAGTTTAAAAGATTGTAGCAGAGCAAGTAATTCTGGTACTTTCGTCAATTTGATGCCTGACTTCATAGTGACCACTGCACTGATGGCTGCCAGGAACCCTTCAGATGTCTTGTATGTCTGAGATGACAAGTATTCCGCCACTTGAGGATGAGTAGCTCCTATAGCTGTGAAGCCTTTCCGCCTTGCATATTTCTCAAATTTCAGCCATTTGTCGTCATACAAATTTACGAGTAGATCTGCGTAACGCTAGGGTTACTGCTTTCGCTGCTCTGGCGGAGTATCCTCTTTTCTTCAAACAGGTTTTGATACTGTCCACACGTGTAGCTGGAACAGTGCTGGGTTCCTGTGGACAAGTTTGGTGTGCGGATGTCTGAGTAGGCCATTCTGGTAGCTTGAGGGTTGGACTTCCGAGATCCTCTATTAGGTCTAGGAACCAGACACTCGTTGGCCAATAGGGCGCGACCAAAGTCTGTTGTAGCGCCTGTGTCTGTCTGATCTTAAACAGTACCTTCGGTAGTAATATCAGGGGTGGAAACGCGTAAGCGTTTAGTCCTTCCCATGAGATGCTCAGTGCATCTGTTGCCCAGGCTTGAGGATCTGGAACTGGTGAGACAAACGTCTGTAGTTGTTTGTTGAACCTCGTGGCAAACAGGTCTATGCAAGGGGATCCTATTTCCCTTATGATGAGCCGGAACGCTTCTGGATGGAGCATCCATTCCGTAGGTGACGGGTGCAGTGGTCAGGATAGAGCGTCTGCAAGTACGTTCTTAGCTCCGGGTATGTGACACACCTTTATCCAGATGTTTGCCTTCCTCCGTGATGTGGAACAACTGGAATGTGAGCTGTAGCAGGCTAGGAGACCTTGTGGATCCTTGCCGATTTATGGAGAATGCCACTGTAGAGTTGTCCATGTGGACCATCAGCATTTTGTTGTTCAGCGAGCTCGACCATAGTTGTAGAAGTTGACGGCTTTCATCTCCAGCAGATTGATGTGAAGATGCTGCTCTATTTTGGACCACCTTCCTGATGCAACTTGATTGTTGAGATGCACACCCCAGCCTTGTATCGAAGCGTCTACGTAGAGATGTGAGTCGAAGGCCGGCTCTTGTAAATAGGTCCCTCCGCAAACGTTCGACTTGTACGTCCACCATAGTAGATACCTCTTGAGGTTGTCTGGCAGCAAGATAGGGTCGACGCTGTCTAGATGTTTTGTCTCGAACCGTTGCAGTGGTCTTAGTTGTAACCTTCCTGTGCGAGTCAAATCCTGCGCCGATATCAACCTTAATATCAACGTTTAGTTCCTCTGGATCATCTGGGAGTGCGGCCTCTCCCTGAGTTTCCTCTGTACTCCGGATGGGCTTACATCTTAAAAGATCCTTTGCAGGTCCTCTGAAGCTGGGGTACTTTTGCGAAGTATGACGGATGACGTTGGACAGAGTATCTATGGATTTTATCATCATAACTTCTCTAGAGTCGTGTGTAGCTTCCTTAGCTGCCTCATCTATTTGTCCTCCAAAGATAGTAGGCACCTCCCATGGAGCTCTTAGTAGCGGTTGGGTGAATCTATCACTCCAAGAACAGGATGCAAGTAGCCCTTGTCTGCGTAGTAAAGTGAGACCTGCAGATATAGATGTCAGATGGTCCGATATAAAAAGTATTGGTCCTCCTTCTGTGCTATGAGGGCCGAATATATCATTCTATCCTCTTCCGAACTTGCGTATGTTCTGGAATTTATTGATCAATGCTTCATTGATGGCTCTGGACCTGGCCAACCTAAAAAAGGACCTCCTTGTAGCAGTATCCAGTTGAGATAACTTTTTATCTTCCACTTTATACATCTTGTTTCGGGAGTCATTGACTAGCTTTATGTTGTCATCCTATTTAGGCGTCTTTGTAATGAGTGACTTCGCGAACGTCTGTGAGAGATATGAGATCTCAATCTAGAGCGGCTAGGTGTAGAAGATGGGTCCTCGAACCTACGTTCCATCATGGCCATCATCTGGTTGGTGAATTGTCTCATAAATTCGCTCGGGTCGAAGTTCTGCATTGGTTGCAGCTGCTGCGGTGTAGATGAGTTCTGCACCTCAACTTCACTCCGTTGAGAAGTAGGTGGTAGTTTGTCAAACAGCTGGCCTGCTGTGACCGTTGCAGGGGACTATCTAGTAGTTGTAGAAGTCGATTGAGTCGCTGATCTCATAGGTACTTCGGGTAGAAGTAACGGGGGGTCATCAAAAACGTCTTCCTCATGTGGAGGTAATATCTCTTCGTTGAAGGATTTCTGTTGCGTTGACTTACTAGCACGCGTAGATTTACCCTCCGATCTGGTAACAGATGCTTTCTTCTGCGATGTAGTAGAAGATGACGTCTTTTTCTTAGCTTGAGTCGGAGTCAACTGCGTTGTAGCCGATCTCTTCTTAGCCCCCGTACCAGCAGACTGCCCCTGCAACGTTCTCAACATAGCACCAGTATTATGAACTCAAGCAGTAGCAAGCAACATACAGTTTGCAGGCTGATCTCCTGTTTTATCAGCCGTGACTTGAGATGACTTCCTCACCCGATCCATGGCACGTCTATAGATATAAGACAAATATTGATTAAATTGAAGATTACATAAATCAACACAATAAGTACAGCGCAAGCTGGAACAACATGGTTTTGTGCACGAAGGGCACTGGGGGTGAGGATCAGCCACGGATAACCAGTGCCTGCAAACACTGCAAGATTTCATGAAATGTAAACAAACTTACATTACGATGAATTTATGACATAAATACAAATAAATTTTAATTTTTTTTTACATAAAATACATAGTAGTTATTGCCAAATCCATATACAGCATAATTTTGAAGAATAGGACCTAAATAAAAAGGATATAAAGCCATATAAGGGACACCAGTGCTCGCCCAACCATCCGCTTGGGCGAAAAGGGAGGGAGTGACAAGTAAGGCTGGTCACATGACTGTTTGCGCGGGAAAAGGGCAAAAGGGAGGTAACTCATGGATGAGTGTATTTTTACGTCCGCTTCGGGAACTTCAAGGGATTCAAGTGTTCCACTACCATTCGAAAAGGAAAGGGAGATAGGCAGAAGATCATGAGTCAGGATAAGAAAAAATAATTATTTATTTCTGGAACTACTGCAAGAAGATTTCGTGAACAAATACCAACAACAGCATGCTGTATATATAATGAGCTGAGTGAGTGAGTGAGTGAGTGAGTGAGTGAGTGAGTGAGTGAGTGAGTGAGTGAGTGAGTGAGTGAGTGAGTGAGTGAGTGAGTGAGTGAGTGAGTGAGTGAGTGAGTGAGTATGGCTTTAGGCCCCTTTTAGCAATAATCCAGCGATATCGCAGCAGGGGACACCAGAAATGGGCAAACCATCAAGCTGACCACATGGACCCTACATCCACTTACCATCCCTGGAGGAGGCCCCAGCCCCTGCACCTCCACCCACTGTCTCACAGTGAGTCCGGAAGAAGCCACAGATCCTGTTTGACACCACCTCCCAATGATCATCGATGCCAGCAACCAGGATGTTGTGGACAAGGAATGGCAGCACCATCTCACAGAACTCAGGCTGCAACAAGTGAAACAGATCTGGATTCTGTCCAAACAGCTAGCTACATTAGTGTTAATCCGGCATTGTTTTGCTCCAATTAATTATCAAGTACGTATCACCCATGCAAAAACATAATATTATCTATCTATTATATAACATGACTTCGGTTTGTGATTCCACTGGAGGAATTTTCCTTGCATTTGCTGCAGAGACTTAGGGCCAAAAACATCCTAAGAGCAAGTCTAGCTAAATGTCTGTAATTCACTGCAGATGAAGCATCACAAGGCTATATCCTACATATCACAAGGCTATATCCTACATATCACAAGGCTATATCCTACATATCACAAGGCTATATCCTACATAAAACAGACTAGAAAGACTCTTAAACTAAAGCTTCACTTGACTTGAAGGTATTATTACTGCTTTATCAAGATTAGTGTAAACATCCATCTTGTTTCTATCTTACCCTGCATTCACATATGGGAGAGAGAAGACACAACAGTTCATCGATAACAGAACCACTGTTGAGGAGAGCACAAGTCAGGTCCGTCACCCAGCGTCTGTGGTCGCCATGTTCCGGCACCCACAGACTATCTGTGTTGACGGTCTGGAAGAACCTCTCCAAATTCCCTGTAGATGCTTCTCTCGTCACAGGCTGAAACATAGCACAGTCTCAACCAAGTCATGTCAGTGAGTGAAAACAATGAGAACAGTTGTCTCCCTTACCTGTGGCAGCATCCACTGATCATGGGTTCAAAGCACTAAACTGACCTGATTATGGTCCATAGTCTATCAGCACATGTATGATATTTTTCACTTAAGGTTTTTCTCCCCTGCTGTATACTCCCCTATACATACTGTTAAAGCAGCATATATCTTAACTCACTCATTCACAAAACCATGGATCTAATCCAGCTTAAATCACCGCCACAACACTTTCTGTACAGGGCTCGATTTAGGAGATGTTAACCGACTTGCATCAGGTGCAACCTAAGATAAAAACCTAGTTGCACCAGTCAAATTCCAGTTGCACTGTTTTTAATGCAATATGTAATATCAGAAATATGCTGTTGAACTATTTAGATGTTTTATTCAGAAGTTTACCCACTCAAAAATTGACTTGCACCTGGTGCAAGTTAGACCAATAACTAGGTTGCACTTTGTAATATTGGGTTGCACCAGTGCAAGTAACAATGCACTAAATCAAGCCCTGCTGTATCATATGGATTTCTATCATTCTGGTTAAACAAGACAGTGTGGGTATGGAGTTGACAAAACAAACAGTCACAAAGAGGGATGGTTTATCTTTTTAACACACAACTGGTATGAGCACCTCATTAGATGCCTTTACCCTATATACTATAACAATGTTTCCATACCTTTTTCTGGCACTTGAAAGGATGCAGGTAGTTAAAGAGATAGTCTTTGTCAGCTAGTCTGGCCTTGTAGTCGTTGCTGAAGTCTACCCCTTGTTTCGTGGCCAGCATGGTCTTGAGCACCTCCCCAGCTCTCTGTACTACAGTGATACTGCAACACAAGGGCAGGCTCCGGACACACTGAAGATCATTGCTGAGGCAATAATAAAGCCTCAAAAATCTTTTGATGGGAAGGGCATCTCCATGTCTACTAAAACAAACTGTTGGTTTGATTTCTAGTTAATCCAAGTTACCTCCCTTACCTTTCCCTTGTGTTGATATTTTAATTTGGGATAGCAAGAACCATGTGCAGAGATGCCAACCCTGAATCTACTGAAAGTGGAGTCATGCCAGACCTGAGCACTGAAGGTGCGAGTTGGGGGTGAGTGCCGGCTATGACATGTGGGCTATGACATGTATTTGTTTCAACTTCGTCATCAATAAAACGCAATATACACAACTGAGACCCAAAAGATCACACACTAACCTCACTATATCAACTCAAATATATCACCAGTGACTTACAAAATTGTATTCCATAAAATAAATTTCAGAAAAGACAAATCACAGAGCGGATTTTGAAAATTGGAGTAACTCTGCCAAAATTGGAGTGGTTGGCATCTCAGCATTGAATGGATACTCCGGTTAGTTTGGCTGAAATGAGATGGAGAGGATGGGGCAGACGGACGAGGCAACACAATTGGCCGATCAGAGTTGTGTCCAACATCAGTCTAAGTAAACTTAGGCTCAGTATTATTCAATACACTGCTATACGGAGTCTAACAAAACCTAGTAGAAGGTCGCATCAGCTTAACCTTTTGGACTGACCAATCAGAACACAACTTACCAAATTGCGAAAGTTAACATTCGCACATACCATTTGAACCTTTACCTAAAAAACTCAAACAATTCCGAATGCTATTTTCCGCACGATCGCTTCCGAATGATACACGCAATGAGTAAACAGTCCCTGAAAATAGTGTTTTTGTCAATATTCAAGGATGTCGTCTTACGAAAATATAAGCAAATAGTAACCATGTCATTAGAAACCCATAAGCGTATATACTGCAGGTCAAATATCTGTGTTTTATGCGGATTTTCGTTTGTTGATAGATCAGTGTCAGCGACCAGGAAAGAGAAAATCCAAAAACCGTTTTGTAAGTCCCGCCAAACCCAAACAAGTAGTCGTTGTCTGATTGGTTAAATCCGTTCGACCGTCTCGCGTTTGATTGGACAGTCATAGGTCGCTCAAAGGTTAGCTGACGCGACCTTCTACAAGGTTTTGTTAGACTCAGTATAGCAGTGTAACAAATAATACTGAGCCTAAGTTTACTTAGACTGGTCCAACAGACACAGGATTTCCCGCCTTAAATCCAGGCAACCAATGAGCATTTATTGTAACAAAGTAATTTATAGCTTGGGACAAGATAAGTACTTCACCCATTGTACCCATATATACACGTTGGGAACCGATCCCGGACCTTGAGTGATCATTCTATGATTCCCCACTTCCAACTGCTGCGAGAACTCACCATGGATCAACAAGATACTGGTTGAGACAGTGGAAGGTCTGACAGTACTACTGGCCATCTGGGAGAACTCACCATGGATCAACAAGATACTAGTTGAGACAGTGGAAGGTCTGACAGTACTACTGGCCATCTGGGAGAACTCACCATGGATCAACAAGATACTAGTTGAGACAGTGGAAGATCTGACAGTACTACTGGCCATCTGGGAGTACTCACCATGGATCAACAAGATACTGGTTGAGACAGTGGAAGATCTGACAGTACTACTGGCCATCTGGGAGTACTCACCATGGATCAACAAGATACTGGTTGAGACAGTGGAAGATCTGACAGTACTACTGGCCATCTGGGAGTACTCACCATGGATCAACAAGATACTGGTTGAGACAGTGGAAGATCTGACAGTACTACTGGCCATCTGGGAGAACTCACCATGGATCAACAAGATACTGGTTGAGACAGTGGAAGATCTGACAGTACTACTGGCCATCTGGGAGTACTCACCATGGATCAACAAGATACTGGTTGAGACAGTGGAAGATCTGACAGTACTACTGGCCATCTGGGAGTACTCACCATGGATCAACAAGATACTGGTTGAGACAGTGGAAGATCTGACAGTACTACTGGCCATCTGGGAGTACTCACCATGGATCAACAAGATACTGGTTGAGACAGTGGAAGATCTGACAGTACTACTGGCCATCTAGGAGAACGCACCATGGATCAACATGATACTGGTTGAGACAGTGGAAGATCTGACAGTACTACTGGCCATCTGGGAGTACTCACCATGGATCAACAAGATACTGGATGAGACAGTGGAAGATCTGACAGTACTACTGGTCATCTGGGAGTACTCACCATGGATCAACAAGATACTGGTTGAGACAGTGGAAGATCTGACAGTACTACTGGCCATCTGGGAGAACTCACCATGGATCAAGAAGATACTGGTTGAGACAGTGGAAGATCTGACAGTACTACTGGCCATCTGGGAGTACTCACCATGGATCAACAAGATACTGGTTGAGACAGTGGAAGATCTGACAGTACTTCTGGTAATCAGAGCTGTCCTGGTACGCTTCCAAGGAGTCCTGCAGTCCAGGACGAGGACGCTTCTTTGGGAGGGACAGTGTGTAGAGGTCAATCGGTCCGATGACTCCAAGACAGGAAGCAGCTTCCATGGCCACCTGGTGGCAAGGTGACTGTGTCAAGTGGAGTAACTCACACACAAGCTGGCACAACACAGAACCATCTGCGGAATCTGAAATGGACATTCAGGATAATCAGCTGGTGAGTCTGTGAAGCTGATTTGATGCTTGTTTCCAAAAATATTTTTGTGACATTATGGTGTGTTAGCTACATGTGAGAGACTCATGTAATCAGCTGGCATATTATTCTCGAGAACAATGACAGAAGAACAAAAGGGGTAATCAGATTACGGATTATATGCCAAGTACACGAATGACATAAATTCCAAGCCATTAGGAGTAGTTTCCCAGAGTTACAGTTACAACACAACTATCGTTACATTGATACAAGTGATGGAATGTGCTAATCGTAGATTACCAATGACAATACGAAAGAATGGGTTGTGTATGACCTTAGACTGATGGAAGTTTGAAACCTGGCATGACCTACTTCGTGAGTCTGTAGTTAAGCTGTGAAGCTCTAGTCGATTCTGGCAGAAGAGAGAGCTGAGAGAGCGGATAGTTTGTGTGCAGCCTTCAGTGACCGTCTGCTTCTCCTGGAGGACCTTCACAGTATGGTACATCTCCTGCAGAACATCCACAACAACTGCTCTCACTGACACTTGAAATAATATAAATAGACAGTGTTCATATCAAGGTTTGACAATAGAAGTGAGTGAGTAATTAGTTTAGCACAACTTGTATCAGCAAATCAAGTGTAGGCCTTTGACAAAAATGTAATTTTCTGAATAACATTGATATTTTATACTTATCCTGACTCATGCTTATTGCTTGTCTCCCTTTCCTTCCGAATGTTAGTGGAACACTTGAATCCCCTTTTGAAGCTCCCTTAAAAAAAGCGGAACGTAAAATCACTTACCAGGAGTCACCTCCCTTCCCAGGTTTTGGCGGGAAACGGTGCCACCTGTCTCCCATGCATGTTCATATCAAATTTGAACGTGTTCAGCCCTACGTTGGGCGCCAATGTAGCGGCCATAAATTTTCCGAGTCCCGTGCTGGGATTCGAAGCACGAACATTCTGATCCAAAGTCAGACACCTTGTCCACATGACCAAAGAGGTTAACACCGTCAGCAAGCTGACAAGGTAAGGATGTCATCTATGGGATGACTCCACGCCCTGCTACATGAGTATACCTTCTAAATGCCATTCAAAGTCTAAAGAAATATTTTCCCAGGGAGAGTCGAGTACACATTTCCAGAAACCAATCCCAGACTGCCATTCATTCCCTTCATTCTACAAGAAACAAGTCCACAAACCTGTACCAAGGATCCTCTCCCAGCATGCTTCTGGAGCTTTCTGTGGACCTTCCTGTAATTACTGAACTCATACTCCTCAGGGAATGGATCCAACTGGCCGATAGCATCACGGAGAACACCAGCGTTCTCCACAATCAGCAGATTCAGCAGCGTCAGGCTGCTGTCTTGCAGCGGGTCCGCGATGACTCATCAAGGGCAAGGTCGTACTTACAACACAGTCCAGGTACTTGCCCAGCTCCTGGGAAGGGAAGGTTGTGAGTCTGGAGTGAGTTTGAACATTGTATAAAAGATTATTTCACACTTATTGCAATGTGCATGTGTGTGTCTGCTTGTTTAGTTTAACGCTGCTTTAAGCAATATTTGAGCAATACCACTGCGGGGGATACCAGAAATGGGCTTCACACATTGTACCCATGTGGGGAATCGAACCCAGGTCTTCGGTGTGAGAAGCAAACACTTTAACAACTGGGCTACCCAACCGCCCCTGTAGTGTTTATACGTCTAGTCAACACCAGAGTTTAGCATGTACCCAGACACAATGCTGTCACTCCAAGCTGGCCAGTCCCTGTTTTAATCCCTGTATGTTGAGATCCAGGCAGAGCAACAACATCATGCAGCTTGCCCACGGGCTCAACAATTATGGTTTTGACACAGATTTGAGTTCTTTCATATGATCCTTATCATGTGGGCAATAAAACTTAACCAAACCTGAAGAGGTTTTCAATTCTTCGAAGAGAGTCGTCCTTGGGGTACATATTATGCATTTTCCACGCTGAAAATGTCCTGTGACAGTTGTATCAATGTTTTTGAATAAAAAGATTGTACAATAAATAAACTTTTTTATTTATTATACGGTCCCCACCTCGTGGAGTTACCTCTCGTTGCGTATGCGCACCAACTGGGTAATCACCTAGGCCTGTATCATCATTCCTTCTGTGAATAAATCAGTGAACAGAATTGCGGGGAGGCGGGAGGCCCTACCCCAAGGACAAATCTCTTCGAAGAATTGAAAACCTCTTCAGGTTTGGTTAATTCTTCTTCATAGAGATCGTCCTTGGGGTACATATTATGCATAAACACAGACTCCCAAAGACCGGAGGCCAGGGAGGAGGGAATTCTGTTCAAGCACATACAAATAGCTATCGTCAATTGAAAAATGTAACAGACGCCATAACACTCACCTGTCACATGTCCCAGTTTTCGCTTCCGCGAGAGGCATTGTGGGAGGAGAACTGACAGGGAGGATTGTACTTAAAGACGACCTCAGAGGTTCGCATATCAAGTCGCACATGGTGCGAAATGTAAACAAAGCCCCACCCACCACGTGTCGATTGGTGAGCACCATAGGGGGGAATGTCAAAACGCTCACAACCGACCTAAATACTCCGTAGAGGATCGAAATGAGGTTATTTAGCTCCCATTAGCGGACATGTCAATAAAACTCAGTATTGACCAGCAGCGTCAACAAAAACCAATGAACCAAGACTCACTCGGTCAGGGTGGCAGGACACTGTCCACCGGAGAGAACAGAACGGCCAAAGCTCGCACGACTACGGGATCGTGTATCGAGCTGATAATGCCGTATAAACGTGCTAGGCCGGCTCCAAATAGCGGCAGAGCAGATCTCTTCAATGGGGAGTGCCGATGCAAAAGCTTTTGATGCGGCTACTGCCCTGACCGAGTGAGCCTTCAACCCCTCAGGGGGAGGCTTGCCCTTAGCCTGATAAGCGGCACAAATACACGAAACTAGCCAGCGAGACAAAGTCTGCTTGCTCGCCGGCACACCAGCCTTCCCGCCACCGTAACAACAGAACAGCTGGGTACCCGTACGGATTCCCTGCGTTCGTTTGATATAGACTTTGAGGGTCTTACGGACATCCAATGGGTGAGTGCTCGTTGCAGAGGTCCCCGATGTGGAAGGCTGGGTAAGAGTAGGAAGTTCGATAGGAGCTGTCACATGGAAAGCGTGATCGATCAGTGTGAAATACAGTCAGCGCCGGGTCGGACGACATGGCATGTAAATCGCCGACCCTACGCCCAGATGTTACCGCCACCAGAAAAACAGCCTTCCAAGTTAACAACTGAATGGAAATAGCCGATAGGTGTGAGAAAGTTGGACCGGACAGCCAATCGAGCACAATTGACAAATCCCAAGGTGGGCTGGTTCGCCTGACAGCAGGTCGAACCCGTTCCGCGCCAGCGAGAAAGCGCTGTAATGCGAGGGTGCTGCCCCAGAAGAGCACCATCGACAGGGATGTGAAAAGTGGAAATAGCGGTGGAGTAGCCACGAATGGTCGAAGCCGCCAGGCCTTCTTCCAGGCGAGCTTGCAAAAACTCCAATACTCGGACTAAATCCACAGAAAAGGGATCTGCAATCCCCCTATCTGAACACCAGCGCGCATAGCGGGACCACCTATCCTCATACTGAACGTTTGTCGAATCCCGCCTCGAAGCCAGAATTGTGTCTGCAACTGCTGCAGGAATTCCGCGTGCCTCGAGGCTAGACCTGACAGAGGCCAAGCCACCCATTGAATCCTTGGATTGGGGTGGGGCGCTCCGTTCTGAGTGAGAATGTCCAGTCGTAATTACCGGAAACCAGCTCTGTGACGGCCAAAGCGGTGCCAGTAGCACAAGCAGCCGAGCTGGCTGGGTGGACAGCTGTGAAAGGACATGGGGAATGAGTGGTAACGGCGGGAACGCCCAGAGCACTTTGCCCATCCAATCCAGCAGGAAGGCGTCGGCAGCCAACGCCCTCAGGTCCGGTATTCGAGAGCAGAACACGGTGTCTGATTTGTCCCGCCGACGAAACAGATCCACCTGAACGACCCGGCACAACTGGGGAGATAACTCTGAATATCTGCCTGTCGAAAGCATCCACTGCAAGGGGCCAGGATCCGGGCGAGAGAGCGTCTGCTCGCACGTTCTCCAGCCCCGGGAGATAAACAGGGAGTACCTGACAATCGCACTGGTCGCACCAGAGGAGAAAGTCCCATGTCTCCCGGAGGAGCCCTCGGGACACCGTGCCGCCTTGCTTCAGGATGTACGTCATGGCCGTCTGGTTGTCCAACTGAAGACGAACCACCTGGCCCTGGACATGCTCTCGGAAGCGCTCGAAAACCAACCACACAGCTCTCAGTTCCAACACGTTGATGTGAAGGTGGGCTTCGGCTTCGGACCAGAGTCCGGACACCGACAGACTGCCCAGCTGTAAGAGCTGGCGTCGGGATTTCCAAGGGGATCCCCCTGGTGAGATTCCCGACATTGGTCCACCACTGAAGGTCCCCCGAGTGAGCCCACAGACTCGCCAAAGCTTGCTGTATAGGGCGTATCCTCAACCGAGCCCGCCACACTACAGAGATCGGCACCACCATATGGCCAAGTAGACGGAGCCAAGTCCGTGCTGGTGCCTGGGGCTGGGAGAAGAACGAAGACACCATCTCCCGTACTCTGGTGATCCGGTCGGGCGACAAGGAAACGAGATCCTTGTGTGTTTGGAACCTCGCCCCGAGAAAAACCAAGTCCTGGGTGGGTACCAGGTCGGAGCGAGCGAGGGTAGCTGGGACTAACATGAGCTTGGTGAACACCCTTGGGGCAGTGGATATGCCGAAGGGGAGCACCCTGAATTGGTAACCGGTCGTAAGAGAACCGAAGGTACTGCTTGAACGATGGATGTATGGGCACATGCAGATACGCATCCTTGAGGTCGATTGACGTGAGCCAATCGCCAGGCTGAACAGAGGAGATCACCGAGCGCAGTGTCTCCATCTTGAAGGATGGTACTTCTAGCATGCGATTCAACCCCTTGAGGTTGAGAATGGGACGGAACCCGCCGTCTTTCTTCGGGACGCGAGGAAGTACGTGGAGTAAAATCCCGCCTGTTCCTCTCCTGGTGGAATGCGCTCGATTGCGGACTTGTCCAGCAGAGCCTGAACTTCGTCGCTCAATATGTCCGCCCTTGCCTGACATGACGGCACCGGAGTGCGGCGTATGCCGGTGAAGTCAGGCGGACCTCGCTTCCACAGTGGTAAATGGCCTACACTTATGGTGGACAGCACCCAAGTGTTGTTTGTAGCCTTCTCCCACCCGCAGGAATAGAGAGAAGGCGGCCTCCCACTGGGATGTGGTAAGAGCGCTGCGTGTGTGGTCCCGGTAGCGGAGCTGACTGGGAGTGACACACGGCTGGGTCTATAGCCTGATGGGTTAACGGAGGTCGGGGCAGACCTCCGCCCCATGCGAAAAGGCTGGGAGCTAGTCGAAGAGGACTGCTCTTTGCCCTTACCCTTGGCGGACCTGTTCCTCCGCCTACCCCTGCCAAGCGGCCGAAGCCAGCCAGCGGACTCGGGTGTAGGCTGCGCTGCACCCCGGCGGAGGAAGGTGGAACGGGAGCGCGGGGGCGAGAAGCCCACGGGTGCTCCAACAAGGCCTTATAGTCCTTGAAGGAGGTAGCTGCAGCGGCAGCCTCCCGTATGACCTGCTGGGCCCCAGGAAACAACGTCGCTCCCAGACGGTAGGGAAGGGCCAGCAAGGTCTGCTGTGTAGCTGCCGAAAGTACGGAGACGTCGACAGCCACAGCTATGCGATCCCCATGACTGCGCACATCACCGCCGACGCAGCGGACCGCCAAGGAGATCGCCGCAGGTGTGCCTGAACTTCGGATAACTGGACGGAGTAGCACGACATTACGCGGAGAAACGTCTCCAGCATGCCCTCCGCCTCCAGGGCCGACCTCTGTATCGGCCTGGGAGAGGTAGGCCTCATGGACCACGACCGCACCTGCTGCATGGCATTCGGTAGACCTCAAAGTAGGTCCGCACGCATGCCGCAGGGCGCCCGCCGAGGGCAAACGGTGGTGTCAACCGCCCTTGCCGAAAGCAGTCGGAGCTGTTCGAGGAAGCCGAGCCTCCCCAAAGGCGATCGGCAAACACGCACTCATCCACCACTGGAACAGCGAACAGGGAATCCTCCCCAGCTGGTACCTCCAGACAAGCTCAGGCAAGTCGAAACGGAGGCTTAAACCCAGACAAGAGGGGATCAACCACGTCCCTGAACCAACGATGGTAGAATACTGAGCAGCGCTCATGAGGGCTGCCGAGGGCAAACGCCGCCTGGCAGGCGGAACTCAGACGAAGTCTGTACGGCCGGCAGGCACCGCGGCCTGGTGTAGGTACCGACAATGCGTCGCGACCTCCCGCAGCAAAGCCGATTTAAAAACGGAAGGCACCCTCCTGCTCCTCTACC